TCCATCCAGGTGCGACTGGGCTCGTTGCAGCAGGTAGATGATGGCGTCATCCACCCCCACACGAGGCTGGTATGCAAACTGCAGCGGGTCAAGTGAAGATTTCACCTGTGGCCTGAGGCGGGCCAAGACCAGCCTCTCCAGCACCTTCATCACATGGGATGTGAGGGCGACCGGTCGATAGTCATTAAGGCCAGATGGAGTCGTCTTCTTGGGGACTGGAACCAGGCACGACGTCTTCCACAGCACCGGGACCTTCTGCTGCTTCAGGCTCAGGTTGAAGAGGGGTTGAAGGACCTCAGCCAGCTGGAAAGCACAGGTCAACAGGACCCTGGGGCTGATGCCATCAGGTCCTGCACCCTTGCGTTGGTGGAGTCTCCTCAACTGTCTCCGAACCTGGTCAGTCGTCACCGAGAGGTGTGGGGGGGGGGGGGTCACGGCGTCAGTGGGGGAAGGACCCTTTGAAATGGCCTCACAGTCCATGCCGCTCACCAGGGGAGATAGAGGGGGGAGGGAGGAAGGCAGCAGAGGTGTCAGGGGTGGAGGAGCCCTTTGAAGTTGGGGGCTCTGTGTCCATGCAGCTCACCAGAGGGGACCGGGGGGAGGGGAGGAAGTCAGCTGAGGTGTTTGGGAGGTGAGGTGTGAGGAGGAGACAGATGAGGGCTGTGAGCTGAACCTGTTGGAGAAGCAGTTCAGCTCGTTTGCCGTCTCCAGGGAGCCCCCTGGTTGACTCTGTCTTCCCTTGAAGCCTGAGATCTCTTTCATGCCGGACTACACCTCCGTCACGTTGTTCTGCTGGAGTTTGGCCTCCAGCTTCCTCCTGTAGGAGTTCTTACACTCCCTGATCTTCACCTTCAGGTCGCGCTGAACTCTCTGAGTTCCTCCCTGTCCCCAGACTTGAAAGCTGCTTTCTTCTTGTTAAGAAGCTCTTTCAGGTCCCTGGTAATCCACGACTTGTTTTTGGGGAAGCAGCGGACAGTCCTGATGGAACGGTGGTGTGTTCACAGAACTTGATGTATTCTGTGACGCAGTCAGTTAAGTTGTTTAATGTCCTCCCCATGTGGTCCACACAGCACATTCCAGTCTGTGGACTCAAAGCAGTCCTGCAGTGCCTCCTTAGCCTCCAGTGAGCATCTCCTCACAGTCCTGGTGGTCACAGGCTGCCTCTGCACCAGAGGAACAGACATCAGGTTGTGATCCGACCTGCCAAGCGGGGGAAGGGCGGTAGATGAGAAAGAAGCAGTGTTTTTCGTTGCTTGGCTTCCTGACCGAGCGATTCTGCTTTATGGAACTGGTGTCCAGCTTCTTTCTTTCTAATCGCCGATGACAGTTGATCATGTGCAGCTAGCAGATTCTTTGTAGCGTAAATAAGCTGGTACATGGTACAATGACATATGATTAGGTGGATAGATATCTGTGCTCGCTGATAACCAATCCAGCATTTTGTTTTGCTGTCTCAGACATTATTGATTAACTATTGCTTTTTGAAGATGCAATAGCTTTACTTAGCAATGGATGACAATCACAGAATACTAAGACAAGTTCTAAAGTAAATCAAATCACGTACAAGGCTGTGAGACAACCATGAGACTGATAATCATCCAATAACATGGGGAGAAATCCTCCCAGAGCACAAGCTTGTAACTGGTGTATCAGCACCATGGAGGATGATCCGTTACTCTGGGATTGATTAGAGCGCCTGCCAGGACACTGCAGAGCGCAGAGCGCCCTCGGTGCAGCGATGGTGACTAATAACATACGCTGTTGCTTACTTGCATTTGCAATAGACCCGATGCAGAGCTGCTCACTGGGACTGTATCATGTTGCTGCTGCTGCTGCATCGTCTCCAGTGAGGCGTGTGCGTCCCTCCCATTGCAGCTTGACTACCTCTCTTCCCTCCTTTTTGATCTCCTCCTCTTCATCTTCTTGCTCCTGGGTGTCTCGTTGCCAGGAGTGAGCAAACCCCCCCCCATCCTCTCAGGAGCAGCAATGACGCTGGGCTGAGGTTTTGTAAGAGGAACCCCCACCGGAGGACTGGCCGGCTGTAAGAACAGCAGCGTTCATGGTGAGTGAGCATTTCTCGCCGCAATGCCGGCGACCCCGCGTGTGTCTCCGCGGGTTCGGCGGCATCAGAGGGCATAAGCGGTCGGGAAGAGGGAAGCGGAGGAGGAGGAGGAGGAGGAGAAGGGCTGCTGCTGCTGCTGCTGCTCGTGTTTCAGATAATAGCCTCCTCTGCTCGCCGGGTCTCCGTGCTTCGTAGGGGGAGCGGTTTGATGATGAGTCGGGGATGTCTCTAGAAAGATGAACACGTTTTTATGTGTCCCGAACGTGTTGAAGGACCCAATGCCCGCTCTGGAGACGACCGGTCTTTATTGCACGTAACTTGATGTAATGTCCACAAACTTGGTACAACAAACGCACGTGCAGCAGCGCCTTTGGGGGAGGGGAGGGGGGGGGAGGCAAGAAAAGTGTCGAGGGATTTCATCCTGCTGTTCTCCCCGATGCAGTTAAGAGCCTCAGGGCTCAGTTGACAGCTGAGTCAGCAGGTTTTTTTCCGCTCTCCGGTGAAGCATGCTTCCATGAAGGATAAAAAGCACTTGGATTGTATCCCAGCGTTTGTCACCGTGGTTCCAATATTGTCAGTTTTCCTCACTTTGTCTCTACAAAGCCTGATCATTGCGTCCTCCGTAACACAGTGTGTTTACATGATGGTATAATTCGAATCTTTATTTAGTCAGACTATGCTATCTTTCGGGGGGAGGTGCTATTATCCCAATATACATGGCAGTGAATAAATCGAATCATTGGCGAAAGGCATGTCATATCCGATACAATAGGTGGCGCGCCTTTCATTACAACTAGTTGTGATGCAGCCATTTCTGCTTGACCACTTCACCACTACCATCAACAACCATCAACAACCACCAACAACAACATCAACATTACGAGTAAGATGGCGAACGGAGAGCAAGGTGAAGCTACATCCCTCTACTATTTTTGCATGATGTTAATATGAGTACAGCGAATGCGAATGGCGCTATTGGCTGATTTGATAACAGAGAGAAGACGCGGTCGGGATCTCAAGCATGCGCAAAGACGCAAAGTCCAGTTCCTTATCCGACTCACCGTTACATGCCGCAATAGTCGAACTATCAACTGGATCGGATCGAGTTATCCAGGGGTGTTAGTCGGATCAAAGTCGGACCGCACATAGTCGGACAAAGGTGTTTACATGAAACGGATAATTCGATTTCAGTCCGACTAAGCCAGTTATTCGAATCCATGTAACCACGCTGACAGACTCCTCGGCTTCCCTGTGGTGACGGTAATTCAGCTTTCAGTGTGCCAACCCGACTATGACTACTCGTTAAGTCATTTATTAATTGCCGTATGGCCTCCTAAATAGGTGCGGTGTTTCCACTATGGGAGCGGAGGTCTCTGGTGAGCCTGCCCTTCAGTCGCTGCCAGACGAACACACACATGATTGCAAAGGTACAATGCTGCCTAGGAGGAGCTTTACCTGCAATAGTAGTAGCCAGGTTCTTTCTTTCTTTTTTCTTCCGTTGTTGCTCCTGTTTTTTTTTTTTTGGACTGAAGAAACTTTCATATCATGTCATACACTCAAAGTACTTGAGTATACAAGTGTAAAACTTTGTAGGGCCACCTGGTGTGAGGCTGTGTGCAGGCAGATCTATGCCAGAAAACTACTTCCTGGTGTACATATTTTTAAAGGCCATAAGCAGCCAGCTTGAATGCCAAGGGCCCGAGAGCCCCTCCACCACAACCAGAGAACTGAGAGCCAGCGTGACAAAGCCCGTTGCCCTGGCGGCACGTTGTCATGGGATCCAATGTCGATTCCAGAAACGTAAAGCCTTCACACCAAGACAGTAACGTTTTATCCTAGACGTGAATGCATGGAAGGGGTTTCTGAACACTTTCTTTTCATGTCATCCTTTTGAGGAAAGACTCCGAGCATCTGTCACAGGCACGAATTACACATTTGTTTATTCAAAGTAAACTATGAATCGAGCTTCCCGATCTGTGTGCTAGTTTGAAGCTAAGTAGCCCAGCAGCAGTATTACTCTGTTGAAAGTAATCGTGCATTAATTTGTCGGATTTATCTGTTTAAATCTTCAGGGGGAGCTGAGTGAGGTGAGTCTCCAGTAGGACTGGTTGCTGGGGGCCAGAGGAATGTCCTGTAACCTGGTTGGCCTTCACAGGATTCTGCTCTACTGTTATTGTTTTAGCTAATCATTTTTCTGGGGTCCCACCCGGACATGTTCGAAATATAACTGAAATATATGACTATAATTCATGCAGGCTTTTTGTTTTTTATGTCCTTTTTTGTATTTTCTGCCTTCCTGAATCCAATAGATTGACCTTTTTTATTTGTCTCCAAGGTTCTAGTGCAACAGACAGTAACATAGAGGCCGATTTTATAATAAAAACAGTCAGGCACACTATCCTATTGTGGCCTGTGCTCATCAATGTGAACACATCCGTGGCAGTGCAGTGTTAAGCTGATTGGCCTGCATTATTAACCACCTCAACGCACACTGGAGGCCTTTTTGGACACACAGTGGAGTGTGTGTGTATGTGCTCATATTGCACATGGCTTATTACTGTAACTTAACCTAATGAGCTAGAGGGACAATTTAACAGTTTCCTCAGAAGGTCTTCTCTCAACGGTTTGTGTGCTACTGCCGGGATAGAAAGTCAGAGCGCCTATCACGCACACACAACCCGTATGTCAGTTGATACCTGGCACTGGGTTAAACTGCTCTGAGGTTGTAACAGGCTGAATGGAAAATGCTCTGAGGCCAGAGGAGTATTGTCACAAGGTCCTCCAGATATTTCTCAGTGGTTCTGTGCAACTTTATGTACACCTACAAGTCCCCTATTCTATTTGTTTTGATTGTCATATGCGTTCTTTACCTCTCCCCCATACCCATTTTGTGTGTGTGTGTGTTTAAATGTTGTTATTAAAACTCTTCTGTCGTCAGGAATATGAAACAAAGAGTAGCAGAGCTGGACCTGGCAACTCGACGTCTCCCAGGCATGGTGTAAGGAAAAACCTGGACTTTGAGCCGCTCTCCACCACAGCACTTATACTGGAGGACCGGCCTGCGTATGTAAACACGTGCACACACACACACTCTTCAATCGGTGAGATGGCGGACTATCCCACATTCTTCCTTCCGTCTCTCTGCCAGTTTACTTATCAGACAATAAAGCCCAGTCTGTTGCCTTCCAATCTTTTTATCTTCCCCTCGTTCCATCTTCATTAGCCTTCCTTCCTCTGTCATTAGACTCCTTTGGCATTGTTCCATTGTCTCTGTTTGTATCACAGACGGTAAACGAGAGGTGCTGCTGAAAGTTTAATGGACTCCCTCTGCATGGCTCCATTACTTTTTCTTTTTAGCATAGAGACAGACCGACAGACTTCGCAACCTTGTAGTGCTGCTCGGCCACAAGCTTGGCACTTCCGTTTAGGCAACATGGCGAATGACTGCAAGGGTGTAATTTAGCCTGATTTCCTGTGTGTACACAAGACTGTTTATTTTGTCACACCATGACTGGCAAAACTCGAGTTCCGCTGCTGCGTGCAGCCTCCCACCTCTTTGATTCTTTACTGTCACCCCCTGCTGGTAAAAGTCATCCAGAAAGGCGCAGGTACTTTATATTGTAATGTGTATGTGCTTTGGGCTGAGTGAAAATAGACTGTACTTCAATCTATTTTTGAAAAGACCGATGATGAGTATTTTTTTATTATGGTGCAATTATGACAAAGCATTCCATGCTGAGATTTAAAATCCTGTAGCAGAAAACCACCATGAATCCCACAAACTTCTACCAACAATAAAGCTGCCAAAGCAAGATGTGCAGGTTGGTGATGTTTGCAGATCAGAGCAAATACTAAACTAGTTCAACCCATTTCACTTACTTACATTCTCTAAAGCTTTCATCTAATTCTTGGAGTTTGTAGCTTTTAAAAGCTTTTAAAGCTAGAAAATTAAATTTCTGTTCATTCAATTTTTTTGTAATATTTCTGTTTAACAAAACGTATTGGTGGTTGTGACGCTTTCACTGATGATCTTCAGCACAATACGACTTAGAATGTAGACTTTTACATTTATATTCCAAATCAACATTTGAATTCTTCTTTTTTTTGCTTGTGAGTTCCTGATTTATACACCTCTAATTCTGCTCAGTTGTGGATAACTAATAATTCCTCTACTTGTAGAAAAAGACATAAATGTTGTCACGTCCAAATATCCACAACCTGCTTTTATTCAGCACTCGTCAAACACTTTCAAAGCTTTGCTCAAAAGGCGGAATGGGCCCTCGAGATGCAATGTGAATGTAATCTGCATCAGAGCTGACCCTATGTTACAAGCCTGCTCCTCATGGATAATACAAGCAAAAACTTAATGCATTTCCTCTGCTTGATGTATGTGCATTCCAGTAATCTTCCCGCCAAGCCAGCCGAAGAGGCCCAGAAGCACCGACAGCAGTATGAGGAGATGGTGGCCCAGGCCAAGAAGAGAGGTGAGCTCACGTGACGAAGGCATCAAGGTTCCTGTGTTGAAGCTTGGAACACTACTACTGGCAACTGACCTTGACTAACGGACACAGAGCTTTCCACCTCCTTTTCTTAAAGTCCCCTCTATTTTGTATCCACCCAACTCTCCCCACTACCCTTTGTGTAGAGTTAAAGGAGGCTCAGAAAAGAAGGAAGCAGCTGGAGGACCGCTGTAAGCTGGAGGAGAGCATCGGCACCGCCGCCCAGATCTGGAACCTGGAGATCTTGCCCAACTGGAGTACAACGTGAGTACAAACGAGTCAGCAGCCAACTTTCGGAGAGACGTTGCGTTCACACTAAACTTAGATTACAGTAGGATTACATACAAAGTCTCTGCACAGATGCAATGACAATGGAGCGAGGCGAATGTGCAATGGTGTGTTTTTCACGTCGAGTTCATGGCGAAGTCACGTTCTAAAACGCACAAGTACAAGTTGAAATATTACAACTTTGGCGTCAAAATCTTGTGACGCTGCAGCGCGATAGCTTATCAGGGTGGAAAACTTCCCCATCGTCACTTACGTCCTGCAGACCGCTGCCGAATGAGATACAATGAAGGATGAATGGATTGTAACGTCAGCTGTGTGATTACCACAAGCTGTATGATGCATCCTCGTATCTATATTGCGACCGGCCCAGGAAAGACCTCGCACAGGATACAAGCATATGCACCTTTTTTACATCATCCCGTTATAGTACATTATAGAGTAATTGTAATTGTTTAACACACTGCTACTCAATATTAAGTAATATTGCAGGACGTTTGCTCAATAATAACGTGGATAAAACTTGGTGTGAACGCACCATAACGGCGAGCATCATGTCCTGCTGGAAGCGGCAGTCATCCAGACGCAGTTCCTGAAGTCTGTGAAATTCACCGAGCTGTCTGCCCCTCCGGTTGCTTTTTTGTACCAAAAGATGGCGGTGTTCGCTGGGCGGTGTTCCGAGCGTGAGTAGGATCTCCTCGACTGGTCTCTAGTGTGCTAAAATGTTTGTTTTTCTCCCCACATTTAATTTCCCGTAGGTGCACATCTCGACGGGTGAGAGACCTCTGGTGGCAGGGCATCCCCCCCAGCGTAAGAGGCAAAGTGTGGAGCCTGGCTGTGGGCAATGACCTCAACATCACACATGGTTTGTGTGTGTCCTCTGCACTGTTATCTGACTGTTTACACCAGCATGTAGCCACAACCTCCACAGACACACACACACATACACACGGAGAAGACTATTGATAACCAGATGGACCAATGGAGTACTTAATTAGATACACTCCATTGGTATGAGAGGTACCTCGTGATACTGGGTTATTTTGGTTGATACGTTAAAGGTAGCAGACAGATACAAAGGCCTAGCGAAGACACACATTGACATGGAGCATGACCCATTCCCTCGCCTACACGTTAAAGCTGAACGAGCACAAAACTTCAAAGGTGTCCATGCTTCCGTAAGCAGCAGCTCAGTGTCTGTATTCTCCCATTTAAATTGAAGTAGCTTAATACTGCTGACAATGCTACTACTTTTAGACATTTCATCAATGAGCTGGAGAAACAATTTACTGACTTTGAGAACTATTTACACTATTACACATTAGTGCATGTTAGCTAAAGCTATAATCTGGTAGTGCATTAAATCATAACATTTATGTTTCAACTGTACAATTCCAAACACTGCTTGAGAAACGTTGCTTATTTCTCGCAAGCCAATGGATGAGCAAAAATGTATTAAGACAGACGCTGTGAGAACTGTGTTTTTGGAACATTTAAGCATGTAAACATGTTCTAGTAGAAACTCAAAATAGCCAACCTGAAACTGATTATATGGCACTGTCCTCCTCCCTTTCTCTCATATGTTGATGGTGCTGTGGCGTGTCCCTGCAGAGCTGTACAGTATCTGTCTGTCCCGGGCGAAAGAGAAGTGGAGATGCACGCCGACACATTCTGTAGAGGCTGAACCTGAAGGTAGAGACATAACCGATCTCGGTCAGTCTGGACTAAGAACATTCATAAGAAGATGTCATATTCAAGTTTAAACCAACCATGTTTTTAAGATCCATCCTGTTGTCTTTAGTAATGGTTTGCTCTGCCTTCCAGGTCCCGGTTCGTCAGATCGGGAGTCGAGTCTGGAGCTGATCAAACTGGACATCTCGAGGACCTTCCCCCATCTGTGCATCTTCCAGCAGGTCTGTGAGAAAGGCTCAGCCTGTTGAGAAAATGTCTCATTCTGCTTTTTTATACAATGTTACCCTTGGCAAGTACCACGGAAAGCATAGTGACATTAGCGTGATGATAATGTATCAAAGTCAATCTGACACCAAACCTTCTGGGACAGGGTGTGTGTGTGAGGGTATTCTGTCCCATTGTCTTCATTATTTCTTTGTCAATTGTCAGGGCGGGCCATATCATGATGTGCTGCACAGCATTCTGGGAGCATACACTTGTTACCGGCCAGACGTTGGCTACGTAAGTCGCACGCACACACATAGCATGACATCCTGCTGTGAAACAGAAACACATTTTATGCTTTAAAAAAAAAAAAGGTATTCACATTGTGTTCTACTGCCGCATGGCTTCACATGGACTCGGAAAGTAGTTTAACATGAACTAATACAGGTCTTCGTGCACTTTTTACACATGGTCTATCTCTGACCACGTGACCAATTTTATTTATTTATTTTATGTAGCCCCTACTTGGTTACAAATGACACAACAAACACCGGGATCTCGCACCGGCATTGTCTATAATTATATAGATATCTAACGTTTGACTTTGTTCTTTATGAGCTGCATGTTCCACTTTCCACTGAGTGTGTGCTGTCATTTAATTACATTACAGGTCATTCAGCTGACGCTTTTATCCAAAGTGACTTGCATTACATTTGTAACCCATGGCTTTTTACATTATTGCCCAGGGAGCAATTAGGGGTTAGGTGTCTTGCTCAGGGACACTTCGACTTGGGTCATGGGGCGACCGGGACTCGAACCACCAACCTTGTGGTTCCCAGCGCGCCCTCTGTACCCCTGCGCCCCGACAACTCACAATGACCCGTTTAATGATTGTCTCATTTTACATTTATTGCATACTCCAAAAGACATTATTTTAAACCTTTTTATTTAATTGTGAGTCTTTTTGTGAGTTTGTGGCTTGTCTTTTCCTGATGTTTGACTAATATATTTCTGATATGTTTGATAAATATCTTTTCAGATATGTTACTATTCATTTTTCTATGAATGTGGGGGCTGTAAACATAAACTGGAAAAGCGAACCAGACCATAAAGTCCCCGGAACAAGGGATTTAAATTTGATGGGATACAAACATCCTGCTGCTTTATTAATCTTTCGTGTTAAATAGACTGTGACATAAATAATGTTACATGATTTATTGGTATATTTTACTAATGTTAAATTAGTATTTGACCCAAGGAAAGGTATTTGACAAACTAATGTTTGTCAAATACCTTTCCCATGTTTAAATCTTTTTCTGTATTTCTTTCACAATCTTTTTTTATTTTTTAATTGTATTTATTTATTTGTTTATTTTTCCAAATTAATTAATTAATATTAATTAATAATTAATATTTTTCAGAAACTTATCAAACTATTTGACTAATATTTTTGCTATTTGGGGCAAACATTTCCCCCATATTTTAGTGACGTTTTATACTTTTTCAGGTATTGTGTTCTAGCTATGAGTATTGACAATCTTAACATCTTAACATTAACAGACCACATGCACTTGATTCATCCACAGGAATGGATCAAACTAGGCCAGTGTTGAATTCACAGTAGCCACTTCCTCCACGTGTTCCACGTGCCTCATAAAGCCTCTCACCTCTTTATCCACCCTCTGTGAAACTTGTCCAGTTACCCAGTAGCGTTAAAAAGGAGCCGCTGTGCTCTTATAATGAAGCCATGTTTGCACCTCCGTCATTCTTCAAAGCCACATGGTTTCTTAGAGGTGCTGCGGTCTGCCTCGCTGCTCCTCACAGCAGCAACACGTTGTGTGTGTTCTGGTACAAATGACTGTCACTTCCTGCACTGACCCCAACCCCTTTGCTGCTCCACACACATATGCATTCGCCTCTGTGCAGTTATTTCTGCTTTGTCTGCATCAACATTTTAAATATCCATCCTGAAGCTCAGCTGCTTATCATTGTAGATTAGTTTAAATCAGATTTAGGGCGCAGTGCAAAATTAACCTGTAGCAGGTGTTAACTTTTTTTCCTCTGCCGAGTGGGAGTATAAGTTTCATAATAACACCTTTTTTTTTTCTTCTCACAAACCCCCTGTAAAACCACTTGTTTTTTGCTTCATGTTTGCTTGTACAAACTGTGTGTGTGTGTGTGTGTGTGTGTGTGTGTGTGTTTAGGTGCAGGGGATGTCGTTCATCGCAGCAGTGCTAATCCTGAACCTTGACACAGCAGACGCCTTTATAGCTTTTGCCAACCTGCTCAACAAGCCCTGTCAGATGGCCTTCTTCAGAGTCGACCACAGCCTTGTCAGTATACACACACACACACACACAAAATGTGCATAGAAACTCACACGTTGCACTTGCTGTTTTGAATTAGTAGAACCTGTTGCTTGTACGGTTTGTGATGGGCACACTATTATTATTATTGTCTCTTTTTGAAGGTTATTCTTTTGTGCTTTAGTTTATTTAATTTAATATTTCTATCTTATTATATTGTATATAATGTGTATCTTTTTATTCTATTTTCTTCCCTGTACATGCTGCTGTGATACCAAAATGTCCCTCTTGAGGGATCAATAAAGTATCAATATAACTATCTAATACAAATAGTTAGGTATTTAAACACCATCTTTTTACGCATATGTGCAATAAGTGTTGGTGGTAAATGTCCTCTATTGAAGTAAACATTGGTGTTTAGACCTCCAGGCATCTGAAGCGAACGTGCAATGCATCCTGGTACGTGTGGGCACTGCCGGCACACTCGGCGAGAGCAGCCACTGGACCCTTCGGGTTCTGTTGATACAGCACGCACCAGGGAATTTATTGAGTCAATGAAATACATTTACTATCCAACACTTCGTTCCACGTTGCAAATAGGGCTGAAATGAACTGATTTCTATTGGAACGGTCCAACAGTCACAAATATATTGAGATTAAAATCTAAGGGCAGCTGAGCGAGGAATAAAGCAAATATTTACATCAATGGTCATGTTGGTCAATGGTGCTTTGTGAAGCATGGCAGCATAAGCTGAACCTTGAATACAAAGCCATCGTCCATTAGACACAATCCTGGTTTCTCACTTTATATAAATCCATCTTCCCCTCTCTCTGCAGATGTTGACTTACTTTGCCGCATTTGAAGTGTTCTTTGAAGAAAACCTACCAAAGCTCTTTGCACATTTTCGGAAAAACAGCCTGACGCCCGACATTTATTTGATCGACTGGTGAGTTTAGAACCCGCCCACCCCTCCACTCTCTGCACATTGCTTCTTGTTTCCATCCCTCTTGATTGCGTGTCTGTGTGATGCTGAATGCCCGTCCAGGATCTTTACCCTGTACAGCAAGTCGCTGCCGCTGGACCTGGCGTGCCGGGTGTGGGACGTGTTCTGCAGAGACAGCGAGGAGTTCCTGTTCCGCACGGGGCTGGGGCTGCTGCGTCTCTACCAGGACGTCCTGACCACCATGGACTTCATCCACATGGCTCAGTTCCTCACCCGCCTGCCCGACTTCATCCCCGCCGAGCAGCTCTTCCAGCACATTGCTGCCATTCACATGACTAGCCGCAACAGGAAGTGGGCGCAGGTAGGACAATGCAGCTTTTCAACTTTTCTGGGTTTTAGGTTACGTTTACGTTCTTTCTCTTTTTAACTGCACCTCCCTCCATCTCCCCAGGTCCTGCAGACGTTACAGAAAGATCCGGAGCGAGGAAGCCCAGTGCTGAAGCGCTGAGTCTGCACACGTTACTGGACTGAGCCAGGACTCTAGAGGGGGATCGGGGTGGGGTGGAGAAAGGAATATGAGGCCTTATTTATCCCCCTCTATCCCTTCTGAAGACTGTATCACACACTCTCACATTCAGCAGGAGGATCAAAAGGAAACCACAGCGACACCACTCTCAGATTGGAAGCCAACCATCTTTCTCCACTTCTCCGATATCGATAAGTACCAGTCAGGGAAAGTGACCGTGATGTCGTCAAATGGAGCTCCAGAGTCCGACATGTGAATGGCAGCGTGAAGTGGAACTTCAGCTGGTGTCTCTGTATCTCATTCTATTTCTTGCAGCTTTTTTTCCCCTCCGAACTTTAGTCATTCCTTCAGTTAGATTTTGTCCTTGTCTGCTTTTCGTTTGTGTGTTTTGTTTTGTTGCTGCAGACTTTTTTTTTTCCTATCCTGTCCATGAACTTGTAAAATGATTTTTCACGGTTCGTTTATGTCGATGAAACTGGAGTGAAGGATGCTGCTGTCACACAGACCTCCCTTAATGTTAGCGGTACTGTTAGCGCAGTGGGATGTCTTTCAAGCGAATTTATTTAATATTTATCAAAAGGACACAAATGAAGCGTTGTTTCTTAGCCTCTGTCCTGTCCATCATACACTTGATGTGAATAAACACGTACACTAGAGGATGTGATGGTAGTCGACATGCACTGCAGGCGCTCTGATCAGAGGGCACTTGACAATTACCTCTAGCTAGCACTGTCTTTTTTTTTTTTTCTTTTTTTCTACAGAATCTGTCTTTACAGACTGCTTCTTCATCCTTGCAAATGGTCGATTTCAGCCTTTTTTAGCCCCGTTTTGTGGACCGCTTTTCGTTCCAGAGATAAAAATTAATTTGGTTTTGTTTTTTTAGATCACACATCTGTCCACGGTCAGTCAGCCCTTTGGGTGTAACCGTCGTGAGGCGAGCTCTGTGGCAGCGTGTCGGGGCCCTGCCATGATTAATGTGTCTTGCTGACTGGCAGTGGGCGGGGCCAGTATTCTCATTGCTGTTTGTTCGGGTTTTATTACCAGCATTGTAAACTACATTGTTTTTGTTTTCCTCCATTCACCCTTGCACCTCTTCTCCCCTTAAGTCATTTCTTTCTTTTTACTTAGAATGGCCCTTAGATGCGGCCGTTGTTGAGCCCATAAGGGAATTTGCACAGACCGACTCATTATGAGACATAAGTTTAAAAGTGCAGATGTATATTGTGATGCTGACCTTGTGCACAGAGGACTTGTGCCCTTCGCTATCGTTGCCTAGTTGACCTCTCTGGTCCCCAGCGAGACCACATCAGGCGTTGTTAAAGGCCTGGACCCCGGACGCACTACAACACAGGTTCTGGGTAGGAAAACCAAAGTAACAGGAAGCCCGTTGGGTTAATGCCTGCAAACACACATCAGCGTCGCACCACAGAACACTTTCTCATCTCACACACACACACACACACACACACACACAGTGCAGACACGAAGTCCCCCACCCACCCCAGTGTGGTGACACGCTGCAATAAAGCTTTTTGCACACATATATGTAAGCCTTTGAGTTGTGCATTGCATCATCACTTGTCTTCACTTGCAGGTTTAAAAAAGGGTTTTCATTTTAGTTTTCATAGTGTCATAGTAGTCACCGAGAAAGTTGCAGTGTGTGTGCTTTATGTGCATGTGTTTAGTGGCATTTGCAGATTTAAATTTGTTCGTTACTTGTTAGTTGTTGCATTAAAGGCTGGCCCTTCCAGCTCCACCAACACTACCTACTTCCCATCTCTCTCACTCACACACACACACACAGCTGTATGATCCACAGTTGCCAGAAACCACATTCAACCCTATTTGAATAAAAATGTAATATGCTGTTATTATATTCTTTTTTCTTAATTATTTTACTGAAGAGACCTGTTGTTCTGTTGAGGACTGATGGAGGAACACGTGGGCAGTAGAGGGCTAACCTGCAACTTAATCTCACTTGAACTGTATATAAACAGTGGTTTTATTAAAATAAAGAGATATAAATATTCAACCTGGAGCAGTGGGTTGTTTAACTGATTCAAACATTTGGCCTATTACTCCCACAGGTTTATTATATGATGAATATGCCCAGGGTATATGTATATGAAGGTTTTATTGTGAAAGGTAAGAGTAGAAGGCTATGGATTACATTATATTTTGGATATATTCGTAGCACAGAAGTTTAAAAAAATAAAGGATGTTCCAAAGAAATATCTGCTTCGTTCCAAGATCAATTACAATATTTCACATTAAAATAATATTGTATTTGTGTGACAAACTACAGTAATAAAACATACTTTTAAATTGATAGCATGAAACAAACATCCCTGTTTAACAGTTATCAATATAAAATAAATATTGATCAGTGCTGCTTTAGTAGTCTTTTTCTGGTCTGTATCTGTATTTATGATTGAAATAACCATAGGATTGTTTTTTATTTTAAGTTGCATTGTGTGGATATTGCATATCCAGTGAAAAGGATCACAGCTAAGTATTTCCTAGATTTTAGATTTTGTCAAATTTATTTCAATAGTTCAAGTTTTTTTGTATCATCCCCGCAGCAAACAGAAATGACCACAAATGCAAAAACTCCCCCACCCTTTTTCCTAATTCTGCTGTCTGATCAGGTCTTTATATTTCGTCTTAACGTTGAGCTACATCTCCGGGCTAACCACAAATGCATTTCCTGTCATCTACCTCAACCTTTTCTAAACTGCGTGGAAAGCTTCTAAAACCACAGCTGCGCCCTCCCCCCCAAATCCCCTCCTCCTCACGAGTGACACCTTTAATCTTTTTCAATCTTGATAAACCTCACAACGCACCACCTTTTGTTCAGAAGCCCTTCATTAAAGATAAAGAGATAAAGAGCAGCTGTCTTCGTCATCACATCCAGAGGCACATTGAGTCACCATGAGGACCACTAACATCCTCCTGCTTTGCATCCTGGGATGTGCTCTGATTGCCTCCGCGATCGGCAACAGTAAGATAACCCTAGATTTTATCATTCAAACACTGTGTATGACCAGTAATCCATGACTTTTTCATCCCCCAGGTGGAACTGGCCCTGATCACTGTTGCTTCACACCTTACCCGAGGAGACTGAACAAAAAGCTCATCCGCTCATATTACATGACTGATCACCGATGCCCCAAGTCCGGAGTCATGTAAGTTCCGTCTAGGCTAATTTTATATACAGCGAAAATTTTATAAGCAGATTGAGTTGTTACTTTCTGTGGTTAGAACTTTTTAATCAATATAAATGTCTTATTAGATGTCTGTATATTGCATAAAATCTTTTTAATATTGATTTGTGATAAATCATTTATTTATTTATTAATTTATTTTGGTCCCCATTTTCTTTGGTTTCCTTCTAGTTTGTTTATCATTATTTGCCCCAATTATTAATAGATTTTTCTTCATCTATTTCAGTCTGATTACCCAAAAGGGTCGTCACATCTGCGTCGACCCGGACCTCTCCTGGGTTGGCAACATCATGAGTAGTGTGGACGGAAGTACCTTTTGAAGCAGCTAGCTGCCTGCTCGCATTCCTTCAAAGTCACTGCGGCTTTCGTTGGTTCATCAAATGCATTTTAGTATCAATCTGTTGATTTGGCCTCCTGATGGAGTCCCTTTAGGCTTGTATCGGCACATTGAGCCACTTCCCATGTTTGGTAGTTATTTTGGATGCTTTGTAAAAGTCACAACATAATTCTGTATCAGCCTCATACAAATACAGTCTTTCATGTTAAAGCCTTGACTTGTGTCTCAATGCTTGTATTTTTATATGGGGGTGCAAAAATGAATAAAGGGATTTTACAGGTTGAATGTTATTTGTTGAGAATATGGGAGGAATAAAAAGATTATAGAAAAACATTTTAAATGTACTATTAAAGATAATGATTATTTTTGGTGTTAAAAAATAATAAAGGAATAAATAAATTATTAGGGAGGGAGAAAATAAGGAATATTAAGATTAATTGATGCCAATATGACACAGCTGTAACAACAACATACATATCTCATGGGAAGAAAAGACCGTTACATGCGTTTTGAGAGAGACTTGAAAGGGGTGATGGTGCCGACTAAATATTAAACTTTGGGTAATGTGGGAAGAGACGGTGCCCCAATGTGCATCTGTGTGTTACCAAGAGCAAGAAGGAGTGGTTTAATCCAGCAATAACGGAGCAACGTAAATCCAATATCCACTCTAAGTTTCTTGTCTCTTCTAACTCGTTGCAAAAAAAGACCTAGCTGCTAAAGATTCCACCAAGTTCACCAGTTAGTCTCCAAGTGTACAGTGAGTTTTTAGGCCGCTTTAATATCGGCAGCCAAAAACGATATTCTGAGGATGGTTAAAGTAAACCAGAACGGTAAAGTTGTGGGCCGGACAGCTAATAATGTACTAAAACTCATTATTTGATGAGTACTGCCCTGCTATTTGAGTATAAAGTATGAAGCTACGGCTGGCAGCCAGTTAGCTTAGCACAAATACTAGAAAAGGGGGCTAGCTCCACCACATGGCCGAGAAGTATTTTTTCTTAACCCAACATAAGAAATGGAAAGTAGTTGTGTTCAATAATATTTTACTCAACCTTTATTTTGGCCATTAATTTTGTTTTGCAATTATTTTCCAATTTATCGCAGATCGGAAAGAAAATTGTAAAAAATCAGTGCACACATAATCACTTCCTCACAATATTCTATCCTGTGCTGCTAGAGTGTGCAACACGACTAAATCTGTCGAGTTTATTTTCATTTTGAGTAATTCTGCCCTCTTCTGGTTGAGCAGTTCTCCATGTCATTTAGCTGACGCTTTCATCCAAAGCGACCTTAAATAAGTGCATTTCAACCATAAAGATACAAACCCAGAAGAATAAAAAACATAACATTTTCATCAAATAAGACTATTTACAACTAAACTAAACTAGTTACCAACTAAAGATAAGAGTCATTATGAGTACAATTAAAGTGGTAAAATTTGTTTTGTCTTTTTGGTCAAGTTCAAGTCTGAAGAGGTGTGTCTTTAGTTTGCGGCAGAAGATGTGAAGAGTCTCTGCGGTCCTGATGTCATCAGAGAGCTCATTCCACCAGAAGACAGGACTTTCATTTCAGGTCATTCATTGCGTAAGTCTTTCTCCAAAAGTCATAAAGGTTGTCTTCAGAATGCTGAAAACAAGGGGATTACCTTCCTCCACACATAAGAACTTTCCATTTTTTTATTAAATCTAAATGTTCTTACACTGTAGATTAGAATTTCTCAAATGTATTCTCACAAAGTTGTAAAGAATAGAGTCTCTTGTTAATAAATTAGACAACCATTAATATACTATACGCAACAACAGATAGTCCAAATGATATATTCATTTTAGATTTAAAAATAATAATATTTATGCACACACCTGTTGACTTTGACATTGGCACCTCCGAGTGGGACTTGAAACGGCACTTTCAAACAACAGACCTGAGTCGTTTAGGTCAGACAACTACATCTCCTCAACTTTCACCCAGAACACCAGCACCCCACACCACTGTGTGCCGACTCATCTATGACCTCTGCACCTGCCAAGTCGCAAGTTTGCAGATGATGCAACGTTTTTTGGCCTCAGCAACAACAATGATGAGTTGACCTGCCCAGGGAGGAGGTCCAGCCCGGCTCTTAACGTCAAGAAGAACAGAGGACTGCTTTGGCCTTTACATCATTAAAGAGGGTTGCCGGAATGAGAAGAAGTCGGTCGTCACATTTAAGTCCCTCTGACGGCAACGGCAGTTCATTTGGACCTTTTTTCTATTGGCATTCCTGAGAGGCATTGCCCACAAGGGTAAACCATTTCATTATTTCTCATACCAAGGTTGAAACTAGGGGCCATGCATCATGTGCAGTTTTCTGCTTTTAGCGGAGTTCATCTTGAGGTCAGAGTATTAGAAAATACATTTAAGATTTTTAAGTAATTACTCATATCAAGAGCATCTACTTGTGAGATGATCTACACTTTACCTCAATATTGGCACTAGTGCTGGCACCAATCCACAATCAACAATCCAAATTCCTTGTATGTGCAAACAAACCCATTCTGGTTCTGGATGGTAAACAGGTTCAGCATTCAGCATAGTGACCAGTGACCAGCACCTGTTGATTTACTGGCATTTAGAGGTTTACAATTTATAAAAGAAAATATTTAACAATGATGTACTCACTAATCTATCTAATCTATTAGTTTTAAAGGGAAAGGGAACAAACCTGTCTAAATACCTAAGAAATAATATTTTAGTAGTGTTTAAGTTGAGCACCGCAGTCGATAATTTGTTAAAACACAAAACTTTCATGAACTTAACCCCAAATTCAAATAGAAGGCTCCAATGTATCAGGGAACTTAAATGAATTGCATATTACATTACATATGAACTTTGCAGAAAATAAGGAACGAATAAACCAAATAATAAATCACAGATGGGGCCGACTTGGTTCAACTTGCCTCATTTAACCTAACAAAATGATTTATAATAAATGTATTACGTCTTTTTGCTGTAGAGCGAAATTAGGGGTCAAAAACAAAGGGTTACCCTTAAAATATACTGTGTGTGACGCCATCGCTGCGCGACGGACTTGTTGGTGGTTCACATGAGAGCGAAAAATCTGCAGTGATCCGGCTTGGCTCGTCCCTCGTTTCCCATAGACCATATCAATCGAAATAGATTCCTACTGAAGATTTCATGCACATCCTCAACTGTAACCCACCCTTTCTGTGGAGTGTTTGCGTATTTCTTTGAACCGGAAGACCTTAAAGAAATCAAAGTTCGCAAAGAGGTGACACTTGACTTCATTGAATGAGGTTTAACACCAATTAGCATTTGTTTTGGTTCGATACCCACAGAAAATTAAACACGCCCAACATTCAGTCGGACGCAGCTGGACACATATTCATATAAATCTGCAGGCTAACGGTAAGGATACTATTACACCACCCAGCCGTGCAAGGAACACAGTAAGACGGGCGTTTTATTATGTTTTTGCTAGCATGGTGTCTAACGCCTAGCTAAGTTAGCTAACGACAACATGGCTAACCAGCTAACATGTTAGCGGATAGATCGGGTTATTGACACTCTTGTTACTTAAAAATTGTTATTAATGGCTGTACAGACTTTTCGGCTATGCACAGATCCAGAATAAACACGGTTTGTAATGAATGCGATTTTTGTTTGGGCTTTAAGGGGTAAAACCATGACGATGGTGCTGCTAGCGCTCAGCGCGCACAGGCTAGCTTTGGCGAGGGCTACTTCCTGCGCCGGAAAGAATCGTTCTCCTAGAGCCGCTTTTCTCAAACAGCCGCTCCTGCACAGGAGACCGACCCTACCAAATTCTACCCCGTAGTAAATGGCCGTTTTCTCGGCACATTGCTATTCTTTTACCGGGGCTGGCTAGCAGGCTAAATGACATATCCGCCGCATTACCGGGTTCACATGGTAACACGATTCCCGGTGTTACCAGCAGGTATTCTGCGTGTGAAAGGACGGGAACGTCTGTTCTGGAGGAAAAAGAGCCAAATATATTATCAAGCTCGCGATAGTGAGACCTGGAGGCTCAAATACCCGTTAAAGCAACCCTATGTTTTGTTTGTGAATGAACACTATGCAACGGTCCTGTTGACGTCTCGTTCCCGCAGTAGGAATGACGCCTCATTAAAAGCCTCCGGAGGCGCTTTGATGGCGTCTTTTATTTACCGACGGGACGCTGCAGCGACACATGATGCGATCAAGCATCCCGAATGGACTTTGATCATCCCACAACTGTTATTAGGTTCACTTCATGATTTTAATACTTTCCTCCTCTCCCCTACTGCGCACATGTTAACGCCGATATAGTGGCTAACACTTCAAATGCAAACGCTTGTTTAACCTCAGAATAACCCGTTTGAAGATGTGATCCACTGGATAAAAGGTGAGAATAGTAGGGTTTACCTTTCAGGATTGCAGCAGTGTGTGAATCCAGACAGTTTGAATTTCAGAGGTTAACTGGAACGCCATCCAGGATCCCAGCGTGCACAATGGCTCACAAGACTGCTGCTTTTCAGGGATCTGAACTTGACCTTGTTTATTAAGTCTATATCTATTTTGGGTATGGATTTGATAATATTTAAAGGTGGATTGCATGTGATTATGCACTTAATGGTGGAAGAATATAAATTAAATGTGACTGGTGTGGCGTGAGAGTTGTGCACTACAGAAATTCTTTGCCGTGTGCAGGTGACGAGCTGGCGCAGGTTGTGGGTTGTCCGTGGAGAATGCGAGACAGCGGCGGGAGCCTGGCCCAGAACCGCTGGCAGGGAGACCTGGGTCTGACCGCTGTGGGGCAGGACGACACCGGAGGAGGTAGGCATGCTACTTCCGCTGGTTGGCGTTACATAACATTTGATCATATCCAAATGCATTATCAAATGGTGGTGCAACGGATCATAAAGCCAGCGAGTCGCATGGGGTAATGGATCAGCACAAAGGGAGCATATACAACTTTTAGAGATCCTTGCTCACGCCGATACTAATTGCGGATCATTGATGATCCATATTGTATAATAACAGCAGCTTGTCTACTTTTTTTCTGCAACTGTTCAGAATATAATTTTAACCTCTCTGAAGTCTGTAAATCATCAAAATTTGAAATGATTAGGAAATAAGTGGGGTTTTATATGGATTAAAACAAAGCTTGTCATTAGTAGTTGTAATTATGTATTATAAGCTTCCCATAGTGTAAATGGTTCACAATTCATTTCTAATGTGTATTTGTTGTTTTGAAAATATCTCCTTCATGCAACTGGATCTAATGACGTTTCTAACCAACTACATTTTGTGAGATTACATGCGAGTCAGTCAGTCAACTTCAGAGACGCTCATCCTTCATACAGGGTCGCGGGGGGACTGGAGTGAATCTCAACCAACACCGGGTTGTGTACAATTTACCTCCACGCAATACTCACTGTCACTGAACAGAGCATGAACGCATCATGATGTGAGCAAAATGGGACCTTCGTTCTCATGCATATTTTACGCAGTATTGACGATCATTACTAAAACTTAGTCGCGTTAAACGGTGTGATTGATCCATGGTTTAAATGCGTGGGGGAAACCGTACCGATCTGTCGTGGTTGGTTGCACCACTATAGCAAACTGCAATAAAGTTACTAAAGTAGAACTGAAATTAAGACAATCAACAGAATAATAATAGTAGTTTATTATTCTATTGGTATTCTAAGGGTGGGGTTTGGAATGCGTCCACGGGACGGGAAGAGGGTTAGGGAGGTATTTACAGGGACCGGAAGAGGCGTGTTGAAGACGTGGTCCTGCTCCTGAAATTACGCCACTTAGCTTCAATTGCTGCTGAGTGATGTCATATCTCATGAGTCCGTTCATTCAGAAGCCTGTTGATGAGTGAAATAAACTAATACAAATATACTAGTAGCATTTGGTTAGAGGAGCAGCTTGAGGCCTTAACTGTAGCAGTGATGCACTGTGCAGAAAATTAAATTTGTTCGTTTATTTTCTTCATTACATTTCTCTTTTTTTCCCCATAGCGGTATTTCATGTTTTGACATTGCCACAATTTGTGTGAAAGGGACCTCCTCCCCATGGAGATAGTTGGGGCCGTATCACTGGTTGATGTAAAGGATTAGTCAGCCCAAATGAAAAAAAGGATCATATATATAACATAGATCCCCTCATGACACCTTTTGGTTGCCTATAACAACTGTACATCATTTTTTTTTATTTTTATATAAAAGTGAAGGACTTTAGGTCATGATGGTGCGTTGTTGATCACTGCTCCCGTTTTGTGTTTAGGTGGGATTCCTGGAGACCACCTCATAGTCCCTGTGTCAGGCAACAGTGTGCCCAGCCCCATGCACCTCCGACTGGGGCAGAAAGAGAAGGCGTGGACAGGCGAATATGTGGAGGACGATGAAGAGGAGGAGGAGGAGGATGGGGTGGTGGGTAGGGTTAAGGAAATGGGCGATGACAAAGAAAACAATCTGGATGGTGAGGACGAGGTAGAGTTTGAAGGCAAGGATTGGGGTAACAATGACGAGGACGATGAGGAGGGGGAGGATGAAGAAGAGGAAGACGAGGAGGAGGAGGACGAGGAGCAGGAAGATGGAGACCAGGCGGAGCTGGAGTGGGAGATCCCAGACTTTCCCACCCAGTCCGCGCAGCACCAACATCACGGACCACCGCAGGAGGCAGACGAAGGCGATGCTGTCCCGCAGGACGTCGTATCTGAGGCCGCAGCGCGGGACCTGCTGAGGTCCCACCTGAGCCGGTCCCGGGCCATGCAAAGGCTCCGGCGCTGGCGGCGCCTGCGCTCCCACGGAGGCCTCGGCTTTCGGCTCACCAAGCACTGGAAGAGCTGGCGCCAGCGGGCGCAGTGGGTGTGCTCCCAGGGGTACCGGTACAGCCGCAGGGCACAGCGCTCCCATCACTACGGCAAGCAGCGGAGGATAAAAAGGTTTCTGCAATCCCCGTATAGTGAAGAGGAGGAGGAGGAGGACAGCAACGACGGGAGGTTCACAGAGTCTGAGAGAGGTACTGCCACGCAGCGCTGAGGGAGACCAGTGCAGCAACATGTATTTAAGATGGCACCACATAGTTGGTCTGTCCCTCACTCCACATCCCACCTTAGATCTACATCTTTGAAAGCAGCTCACAAAAATAGTTTGCTGTTTAAGCACTTTAAGCAACAAAAACCATGTGGTGCAGGTGGCCTTCTGAATACACGTTTTGAACTGTTTTTTCCACAGTTACACACAATAAATGTTTGTTTCTTTACTTGAGCTTTTTCCTTAAATGTTTGATGTTAGTAATTTGGTTCCTTCTCCCTGGCAGATGAGCTGATGAATGGCTGCTCTCCAGACAAGCAAGAGGACAGAGGGAGGCGGGACATGGAGGTCAAACCTGTGGAGCTGGCCCTTACCGAGGAACACATGAGCTGTGTGACAGGTACAGATAGCAGGCTCCGCTGGTAGCTCAGTCTGATAAAACACGGTTCGTGAACGCTTTCTGTGTGAGGACAATGCCTCAATGTCTTCTTTCAAGGTATCCTTGAGGAGTCCCTAAAGCAATACGGCAGTTTGATCCCCATCCACGTGGATGACATTGTGGAGAAGCTTCAGGACATCTTCAGCGAGAGCTTCTTCCAGCCGCACAGGTGGGTTCATTAATTTAAATATGAATGAAACCGAGAAAAGAAGGCGTGCAAACACATGTTTTACTTTCAATCTGGTGTAAGTAGATATTGAAGATACCATTTAGGACTTTCAGAGATTTTAAATTAATTTGAATTAAATTTAAATGCCATATGATTCCTGTAGAAATCTATTTTCAGAACATTTCTGTGATCATCATCAGACATCAGTCTCCCTAACTGCCCATTAAAGAGTGTATTCAGTGTGATTCTCCAGACAGGTGTGTGACATGCAGCAGGTGGGCAGAGAAGAATGAAATGAAGTTGCTCACTTGGCTCTGTAGGCAACAGACTTCTCCACTAACCTGCAGGCTAATTAAACTAGTGGGAGGAGTTAAACGAGTTGAGTGAGTAATGTGTGCGTGCGTTCGCTCTGTTGTCCATTAGGAAAGCAGTGGTCCAACACCTTATACAATCCTTCCAGCGCTCGTCCGGATCCGCCCTGGCCAAAACATTCAGAGTGAATTACAAGCGCCACGTGCTGACCATGGACGACCTGGGCACTCTGTATGGACAGAACTGGCTCAACGACCAGGTAGAGTGCCACCCTTAGAGTCAAGTCAAGTCATTTTATTTTGTATAGCCCATAATCGCAAATTACAAATTTGCCTCAGAGGGCTTTACAGTCTATACACATACGACATCCTCTGCCCCGAAACCCACCATCGGCACAGGAAAAACTCCCCAAAAAATGAAAAAACCCTTACAAGAGGGAAAAAAGAGGAAGAAACCTTAGAGAGAACGTCAGAGGAGGGATCCCACTTCCGGGATGGACAGACTACAATGGATGTCATGTGTACAGAATGAACAATGTATAATACATTCAATTCCTATGACAGAAATGATTCAAGTAATTGTGAGTAGTAAGCCAGGCGCACAGCAGGACCACTGCAGGGGCAACCACCATCAGATAGAACCACCATCTACAGAAGCCTGTGGGGAGGGAGAGCACAAAGACTTTAGGAGAGGGTAATGTTGGTTTACGAGTACAGTAATATGATTAATATCTAAAATAATGATGATGATGATGATGATGGCAGCAGCAGGCGTCAGCATGGCCACGGTAGGTGTCAGGACCAGGGTCCCGAAGGAACCACGATCTATGGAGACCTGATAGGGGAGAAAGCACAAAAGAAAACTCCAGGAAAGAAGCTGAATTAGTCATGTGCATTAATAAAACTTGAATTATGGTAGAACGAGAGCGTGAGAGAGGAGCTCGGTGTGTCCTAAGAATTCCCCCGGCAGTCTAAGCCTATAGCAGCTTAACTAAGGGCTGGTCCAGGCTAACCTGAGCCAGCCCTAACTATAGGCAGAATCAAAGAGGAAAGTTTTAAGTTTTACTTTAAAAGAGCTGACCGAATCTGCCCCCCGGACTGAAAGTGGAACCTGGTTCCACAAAAGAGGAGCTTGATAACTGAAGGCTCTGGCCCCCAGCCTACTTTTTAAAACCATTGGAACAACAAGTAACCCAGCATCTATGGAGCGCAGCTGCCTTGTAGGGCAATACGGTGTTACAAGCTCTTGAAGATACAACGGTGCCTCACCAGCAAGTGCCTTGTAGGTGAGGAGAAGTACCTTAAAATCTATTCTTGATTTAACAGGGAGCCAGTGCAGAGAAGTTAATACAGGAGTGATATGATCCCTTTTCTTAGTTCTTGTTAATACACGTGCTGCAGCATTCTGAATCAACTGGAGAGGCTTAAGAGATTTACAAGAGCAGCCTGATAACAAAGAATTACAGTAGTCCAGTGAGTGTCACTTTATAACATGTTCCCTGAAATAACCAAAAACCACCTTTTTGCTGTTTGTGTCATTCAGATTATGAACATGTATGGTGACCTGGTCATGGACTCTGTGCCCGAGAAGGTAAGAGAACCAAAGTGGCGATCCACCCTGCCATCATCATGATGGCAGGGTGGACAATCGGACCGGCTAACAGGGGAAAGGAGCAAGTTGCCTGAAACGAGAGGAAGGTTCATTTTCAAAATAAAACAACCTAAAAGAATAACACTTCATAGAAACCAATCCAATCACAGCAAATAAGGTGACTAAAAAAAAACCACACCATACAACAAACACCTGCAAGATGGCTGCTCTAGCACTGTGTCACTCCCTTCAACACAGCAGAAAGCCCCACAAGAAAATGAAACCTAAAAAGGCAGACGCAATTGGCTTATTAAAAAGCCTAGTATATACTAAATAGAGGAAAAACACTGGTGGATCCTGGCGAACATGAAGGACTACCAACCTTTCAGTTACCAGCGCACCCTCTCTACTCCATGCGCGACGGATCAAGTCCTGTCAGACAGACAGACGGACGTAACAGCGCATCTGCATTAACGAGCTCCTTAGTGCAGAAAGAGACAAAAAACTAATGAAACATAACGATGATTAGGAAAAATATGGATATCAACAAGCTTCAAATAGTTTAAATGGTGTCTGTAGCTGAAAGATTGGCGAAGCAGAAAAATGTGAAAGTTGATGAAGTTTGAGAGGATTTGAAAATCAACTCCTTTGGAAATTGTTAAAAAAGGTTTATGAATTTGATTTATATAAATTCAAGCATAAGAGGTAGGAAGATGAAAGGTCATAGCCCCCCTCTCCTGAAGGAGCTGAATATTTTAATATTTGAACAGTTTTAATAGCTGAGAGTGTGATGGAGTTGAACGGTGCCACGGAAGAAATGGAGGAAGAAGAAGATGTTGACAAAGATTCAAAGAACAACTTTGAAAATGCTGTGGCAGCATTCCAACAATCACTGGAAGGAAGAGCTGTGTCCACGTTGATGAAACAGAAACCCACATGACCCTTATTCTTGTTTCTCTTCTCTCCCACAGGTTCACTTTTTCAACAGCTTCTTTTACGATAAGCTGAGGACAAAAGGCTATGACGGGGTCAAACGGTGGACAAAAAATGTAAGTTTTGTGAGGGTGAATTTTCTCGTTGTGCTAGACCTTAGGTGCAGGACTCAAGTCTCTCCCTGTGCTCCTCTCCTCTCTACGTGCTCTGCTCAGGTTGACATCTTCCAGAAGGATCTGCTGTTGATCCCCATCCACTTGGAGGTCCACTGGTCCCTGGTCAGCGTGGACATTCCACGTCGGGCCATCACTTACTTTGACTCTCAGCGGACCCTCAACCGACGTTGCCCAAAGGTAGGACAAGAGAGCAGCACCAAAGCACACTCTTCTGTTAATGATGCCACATAACACCCGTAAGGGTTGTAAAACAATTAAAAAGATCTATAAGGGTATTTATTAAAACGCCTTAAAATAGACAGAAAGTAGTCCACCGGTACCCTTTGGACTTTGACTGCAGTAATCTGTTTCTGGTGGGAGATGATATCTATTGATAAGGGGTGAAGATTTAATAATCTCATTGATATTTCCAAAAATATTCTAATTGATATTTCCAAAAGCCATAATCTAATGTTTTGCACTGGAGGGGGTCTTCAATCTAAACAATTTCTACATTGGCATTATTTACAATCACATTTGGGCCTCTTCTTATGTAATTACATTTTACATTTTTTTTATGTTTATCATTACAAGTTTCTTATTGTCACTGTTCTAAATATATATGAAAACAAATGTCCCATATAATCATCTAATGTTTTGCCGTCCTACTTATTCCAGCACATTTTTAAGTATCTGCAAGCAGAGGCCATCAAAAAAGACCAACAAGACTTTTTGACGGGATGGAAGGGCTTTTTCAAAATGGTGAGACTGCTTGTTTGTTGTCTTTTTTTAATTTATTTTCTGACTTTGACACACAATAAGGTGGCAAATTTCCTAAAACTGTGCTGTCATTGTTGCTGTGGCTTTATTTATTTCCACCGCCCTGCTGCGCCTTGCTAACGTGTACCGTGTGCTTGCTGCAGAATGTGGGTCGTCAGAACAACGACAGTGATTGCGGGGCTTTTGTGCTACAGGTGAGTTTGTTCGTGAGTTGTCGATGGTCACACAGATGTGCAACTTTCGGTATGGTAATTTAGTCTCTGCTCCTCCTGCACGATAATAACCTTTTTTCTTCTTCTGTTTTTTTTCCCCACCCTCCCTCCTCCGGCCTGCAGTACTGCAAGTGTCTGGCACTAGGTCAGCCCTTCATCTTTGGCCAGCAGGATATGCCGCGGTTGAGGAGGCAAATGTACAAAGAACTCTGTCACTGCAAGCTCAGCCTGTGACCCAGCCCCACCCGACCCCACCCCCCATCTCCACCTGCTCCCACCTCAAACCCTAACAGGATGGAGAGGAAAGTTGATATGACAGGAGGAGGACAAGTGGAGGAAACTCTTGACTGGGAGAAGAAAAAAAGAGGGAATGAGAAACTTCATTGAAAAAGTTTTTTTTTTTTTTTTATTGCCAACAACCAGAGAAGTTACTTCTTCTACTGTACGTGATGTCATTTTTTCACTTTTTTTCCCTCTCTCCACCCTTTTTTGAGAACTCATGATTTAATTTCCATGTCATGGTTATTCCTTTGTGGTTGACAGAGGCCAAGACTAGCTTCCTTTTTGGGAACATGCTTATTGTCCATCCTATCTTACACCACTTTGAGCATGAAGACGTCTGAAGGATACGGTCCAGATGAAGAGTTTGGACCACAGTCGGTCCAACCTGACTACTATTTTTCATGGCGGAATAATTTGAACCAGTCGACGTAAGCTTGTGGTGAAATAGTACCAGCGGATGTCCACGCCTTCCATCAGTGTGTTGTGTTGAAACTTTCAGCAAGAGCAACATAAGCTACACTTCCCTATGCTACAGCCGAGGTCATGTCGATGAGTCCATCTATCGAGTCAGCACATGTTTGCCAACGTATATTTGTTTAATCATTTCCTACAAGATGTTAGAACGTGGGTATGGTGAGAGTGGAAAGTGCTGCCATGTGGACATCAGAAGACAACTCCGAAGTGTGAAGAGCCATTCTACTGCATTTTCCCGTATATTATGTTACTGTGGGGGGGAACGATTTCCATCCATGGAACAAGCATCAAATTGGCCTCTTGCCCCGGAAACCACCTCTGCCTCAGTCACTCGTCCCCAAAAACCCTCCTTCATGTGGGAGACTGGATCAGCATTGGCCCAGACAAGCCAGAGTGACACAATGGCCCAAAAAAGGGGCCTTTACATTGCATTTACCTTTTTTTTCCTGTTTTATCTCATTGGTAAACGTGTTGATATGCTTATGCTTCAAACAAAAGATGTTAAAAGGAGGACTAATTTGCGTCATTTTTCAGAGGTGGGGTGAACAGATCCTCTGGTTGGTATTTCTTTGGAAGTTTGGGGGCCATTTTGGCGAGGACCACAACAGAGGGAGTACGTTCATTACGGAGTTACAGCACCCTCCTCTTTTTTTATAACAAAAAACGTTGATAGCTGTGTTTATTTCTTTTTTTTTTTTTTCAAAAAGGAGTTGATGCAACAGAGTTGACAGTTTTATATATCTTCTACAATGCATTATGGTTGCTGAAAATAAAAATATGCGACAAACAAGGTTTTTATGTGTTTGATTAATTCAACGGTCAGGCACATCAGCAGGGCCTGTTTACATGTTGTCCAGTGGAGGGATGGAATGAAGGACCTTTTGTTTCTCAACACCCCACACACTTGTACTTGAGAATTTAAATTTCATGCTACTTTAGGATTCCGCTTCATTGCACCTTTAACATTTATCTGTTGGGTAAAATTGATTTAGCTAATTTACATATAAGCACCTGATATGCCTATGAGATTTGGTGCATGGTTACTGATGCTGATTTAAACTTATATGTTATATATGAATATATGTTTAACAATTAAACATTTGTGTGATTGGAAATGCAGAATTTCAGCACCCCTGATACTTATAGTGCATTTTACTGATACCGCTTTTCCCCTTAACATGACGTTTCAAATCAAGGACCAAGTCTGGTTTTGCTACCAGACATGTTAGTCCTGTGCGGTCCAAAAATATAAATTCATGGATATCTCAAATCAAAAAACTACAGATATAGTCATAGAGATCTTGCTAGGACAATTTTAATTCTCTATTTTCTGAAATCCTGCCTGTGCATGACTTCAACTGTGATTAATTAGAATATTAAATCTAAGTTGCTCCAGTAGGAAGACCTGGGTAATTTGCTATACAATACAGAACTTCCTCATAAATATCCTCCGGATGACTACACCGTGAATCATCTAAATTATTTCACAATGTTAAGTTAACATTCCCCGGCGACGAGATGTGTCACTAAATTACAGGAAATCTGGTTCAGACAGAAAACAGAAACCAACCCATGGGAAGCATCTGTTCTCCGCGTTGACGAAAGGCTGCACTGAGACTGGAGTGCCTAAATATATATACCAGCGTAGCACGGGTGAAAAGGCTTTGTTACCTTTAGTACAGTTTATATATAAAAGTTGAACACCGCCCCACTGGCATGCCAACAGCACATCTATCGTGCGCTACTTTAGACCTGACACCCCACCTACTTATATGTGACGTATAAACCGGCGAATCGCATGTCTCTAGGGGCGGGACTACAGCGAAATGACGGCGACCTGCTGCAATGAAAAAAGCCTTTTTGTGTGTCGTCAACATATATAAGACATCTCTGCCGCAGTTTCTTTCTTTGGAATAATGTCGGCTGAATATGATAATAGGTAAGGAAAAGTCAATGGATTTACCAAGGAATTCTGTGCGTCAGAACTTTAAGAATACATTTCCGTCGATAAATTAATATTTATTGTCGATGACTCTTGAAAAAGTAGATATTAGACAGACCTTCCTTTGGTTTTTGTGCTGTTTTAACGGTTAGGCCTTGGACAGCCTGCTTCGGACCAACGTCTTCACATTTCTCAAATTGACTCGTCATGAGCTGCCGTTTTGTTTAATTTGAATATGTTGTTCCTTGAATATGTGTTAACGCGTTTGTGTTCGATGTTTTAGCTGAACGTAGCCGAGGGAAATAAAACCGCGACCGATGCTTCTGGTAGCACGTGAAAGCGCCGGCTTTAGGCCTTCAATGTATTACGCTTAAGGATTCCCATCGACCCTCGTCCGTAAATAAAGTGTATATATTCTTTGATTTGAATTCGACGTGTGTAATGTAGTAGAGAAAAGTCGGCGAGAGCATCGGAGGCGGAGATGTAGAACTATTTGTTCTCTTCTACGACGGGCGCACATGGCCGCGGCGGTGCTAATTAGGGGCTTGGACAATGCCGTGTAGGCCGCTGGAAGCATTCCGGGAGTGCTAGCGCATTAGCATATGCTACGTCCATTAACAAATGCGGCATTTGCGCAACCTCACTTCACGGTAGTACGTTTCGCTGACTTGTCGAATACGACAAACCGCCACATAAATGTATAACGTTAGCGGTAACGGGCATGTTAGCGGAGTCATGGCGGGCCGGAGGTTTCAACCAGACGTTTTTTTCTGTTTAATCCATCGCTTATAGAACAACTTCGTTCTTAAAACGATTATTCACTCTTAATATACGCAGACTACAACATTTGCCCATGTGTGTGCTTTTAGCAGACATTTCTCGTGGCTAGGCTTCCTTCCTACCGACTCGCTTCCGCCTTCTAAGCTCCGACTGGAGAAACGACCATCTTGAATGTATGCAGTAATGGCGGACTGTAAAAAAAGGGGGTGGGGGAGCTTGTTCGAAAATTGCGGTTAGAATGGTAAAATGTGTATCGGTACAGATTACAATTGTTGGTACTTAAACTTGTTTGCACTACATGGTTTGTAAAGAGTTTGGTATTGGTTGACAGTACAACTGCGTAATCCGAAGCAAAATGACAAAGACATGTTGTCTTTTCGTTTACAGAGACAATGGCCCTGAGGGCATGGAGCCAGATGGGATCATTGAGGTGAGTCCCAGTGCCGGTGGCACATATATATTTTTACATGCACAAACTCCTTACTGTGAATTCTAAAAGAGGTGTATTGTACAATTTGTCTCCTGCGTGTTTGAGACGACCTCATTCAATTCTGTATGTATGTTCTTTATCCTTTCAGAGCAACTGGAATGAGATCACTGACAGTTTTGATGAGATGAACCTGCGTGAGGCTCTTCTCAGGGGAATCTATGCCTATGGTTTTGAGAAGCCCTCTGCTATCCAGCAGAGAGCCATTATGCCTTGTATCAAGGGTAAGTAAGCCCTTTCTACCACATCCCCCATTTTCAGGTTGAGAACCTACTAGCTACATTCGGAAAGATACCATGTTTGTATACTTCTATATATATCTAGTGCTGTATTTATAGTTGAAATTCAAGGGAAGAGAATTGATTAAACCTGACTAACTATTACATGCTGGAGCCAGTAAGCTCATACTTTAGGGTGGGGCCATGTTAGTTCAGACTAAACTCATTTTTTACTATAGTTTCATCGACGTGTGCTTATCTATACGAACTTGCCCTCTGCTATTTATGTATACAGGGCTGAGAGTCTAGGGATGAGCAAAATCACCACCTGCACTTGATAAATATGAATTCGACAAATGGAGTTGTATACTTTCGTGGTTACACTATAATGTTTTTGTTTTTCTAGGATATGATGTGATCGCTCAAGCCCAGTCTGGCACTGGAAAGACTGCCACCTTTGCAATTTCCATCCTTCAGCAGATCGATGTGGAAATGAAAAGCACCCAGGCTCTGGTCTTGGCTCCTACAAGGGAGCTGGCTCAGCAGGTAGGAAACCACTCCACGAAACACACGCCTGTTTGGGAAGAACCTATTTTTATATCTGCCTGTGACTCCAATGTTTTTTGCCAGTTTTGTATTAAATTAAGGGTTACCGTGTTGTCTTTAGCTATTCATGTAACTTGAGCTGATTCCTGTGTGTAATCCATATGGGCCTTAAATGTATTTGAGCCTAAAGTTAAAATCCCCCAGGTTGTGACTGAAACCTTCCTTGATACAAATGCGTGGGAACTGCCAGGAAACCTGCTGTATAATGATGATAACCATGCGTGTCAGCTGACTCTGTAACCCTCTGCTGTCTTGTTGCTGTGGTCGGCGTTTTGTTGGCCAGAGTTTTCATCACAGCAGAGCTGCAGAGACGTGATCATATTTCACTACTTCTGAATACAGCACAATCGCATTACTTAAGTGTTATCTGAATAGCAATGAATCTTGCAACTTGCTAAATCAGAAAAAACACAGTGGGATTATTTGAAATATTTAACTCCTGTGGTTGAGCTGTACTGCCGAAATCTAGACATCGCCATCCGTGGAGCAAAATGCAGACTTTGCCTAAACAGTAAATTGTTATGAGCAATTTATGTATTTATATTAAAACTTTATATTTTCAGATCCAGAAGGTGGTGCTGGCTCTGGGTGACTACATGGGAGCCAATTGCCATGCCTGTATCGGAGGGACCAATGTTCGCAGTGAAGCCCAGAAGCTCCAGGCTGAATCCCCTCACATTGTGGTGGGAACCCCTGGCCGTGTCTTTGACATGCTGAATCGCAAAAACCTCTGTAAGTCACCAGTGGATCAATGGCGTAAAAATGTTTTCGATCAATTCTAAAATATTGACAAAATATTCGGCACATGGTGTTCTAGCAAAACTAGCAACTTCGTCTTAGTGACTCGGTGATGAATGACACCCTCGCGTTGAATTTGGATTCATAAGAGCTGTATAATGATGATAACCATGCGTGTCAGCTGACTCTGTAAACCTCTGCTGTGTTGTTGCACTGGTCGGCGTTTTGTCAGCCTGAGTATTCAGCACAGCAGGGCTACAGAGACATGATCATACTTCACTTCTGAATACAGCGCTAATAAACCTTGACTGAGTCCACTGAGTAAACGTGCTCTGATCTTTAACTGGCATTTTCTTGCAGCTTCCAAGTTCATAAAGATGTTTGTGCTGGATGAGGCTGACGAGATGCTTAGTCGAGGATTCAAGGACCAGATCTATGAGATTTTCCAGAAACTGGCAAGCAGCACGCAGGTCAGACAAATGTGTAGATACTTTTTATTTTCTTCCTCTAGCAAACAAATGTCCGGTGTGATGAGCACTGGGTGCAGTCCAGGGTTCCCTCTCCTCCCATCTGCAGTGTTGGTGAAGGACTGAATGTTCCTTGGTACAGAAGCTTGTCTGCCCTCCACTGTAGCTGGGTTCATGTCCTTGACTCACAACTAATTGGCGGATTACACTGTTTTACGCTTCAATTACTTAGCTTGTGTATATAAATCCTTTTTGAGATACACTGATATTCAGCAGAGTCTGACTGTTCTAATCACCCCTCTCTTGGTTCAGGTTGTCCTCCTGTCAGCCACCATGCCAGCCGACGTGTTGGAAGTCACAAAGAAGTTCATGCGTGAACCAGTTAGAATCCTGGTGAAGAAGGAGGAGCTGACGCTTGAGGGCATCCGTCAGTTCTACATCAACGTGGAAAAAGAGGTGAAGAAAAGTGTCTAGTTATGGAATTTGGTCAGTCCTGTACAGAAAACTTGCTGATCATTTTAGGTGTTAATAGATTGGTATGCTCTTGTGCTTGAGGAGGTTGTGTCTTACCTGATGTTGGTCCTCAGGAGTGGAAGCTGGACACGCTGTGTGACCTCTACGAGACCCTGACCATCACACAAGCGGTCATATTCATCAACACAAGGAGGAAAGTGGACTGGCTGACTGAGAAGATGCATGCCAGAGACTTCACTGTGTCCGCTCTGGTAAGGACCCAACCTGGGTTTTTCAACAAGATATTTAAAAAAAGGAAATGCCTTGTTTTATAAACCCTGCAGTTGTCTTTTTCTCAAACGATAATAACTGTGATGCATCCGCTTGGTGTCGCATGTCTTCATAGTGTTTGAGTCTTTGTCACTTCTGACTGCAACCTCTGATCTCTTTAGCATGGTGACATGGACCAGAAAGAGAGAGACTTGATCATGCGGGAGTTCCGCTCTGGCTCCAGTAGAGTCCTCATCACCACTGACCTGCTGGTATGTACAGTATCTTTTTACAACGGACACTGTTAAGTCCAGGGTTCCCTCTCCTCCCATCTGCAGTGTTGGTGAAGGACTGAATGTTCCTTGGTACAGAAGCTTGTCTGCCCTCCACTGTAGCTGGGTTCATGTCCTTGACTCGCAACTAATTGGCGGATTACACTTTAATATGTATCAATTGGTTTTATTACTGTTGAACAAGTAAAAATTTGATGTACCTAATCAGGAACATTTATTGCCAAAATATGTTAAACATACAAGGAATTTGACATGGCAGACAATGAGACGATTTAACTCCACAGTATAAAATGGGAGGCTAAGGGGGATATGTACTCGACACAAGTGCGTGAACTGAAAATGTCTTTCCATTAATCAATAAAGTACAGGGTTAAAAATGTATTTGGTCCAACAGATTTTAGCTTTAACGCTTGGGCTTAGTTCAGTTAAATGTATCTGAGATGACGATGCTGCTGTAAGGCTTTGGTGTATGTGATCGTATGAGAAAGACGTCACTGCATAGATGACCATGTGACTAATGGTGGTTATGCTCCCTCAGGCCAGAGGTATTGATGTCCAGCAGGTGTCCCTAGTCATCAACTACGACCTGCCGACCAACAGGGAAAACTACATCCACAGGTAAGACGTGCGCTGCAATCTGAACATTAAAATCCACATGTGCTGTTAGCGTGTCCCCCTCCATCCTGTAGGCTGTTAGAAACTGCCCGCCGCTTCATAGTTAAACTATTTTTATTTTCCATCAGGATTGGTCGCGGTGGTCGTTTTGGCAGAAAGGGAGTTGCCATTAACATGGTGACAGAGGACGACAAGCGAACCCTGAGGGACATTGAGACATTCTACAACACCACGGTGGAGGAGATGCCCATGAATGTGGCCGATCTTATCTAGATGACTCCAGCGTTGACCCTCTCCCCACTTGTTTTAGCAGTCAACCTTGTTTTCTTATACGATCTGAATTCTAAGAACGTTCTTTTGCTAAATTCCACATGACTTTACCCTTTACATTCTTGGAGGGAAGAATATGGCCAACGTTCCTCCCTTACCGTTGACGTTTTTTTTTTTTTGGGCCGTTTTGGAAGGATGGAATTACTGATCTGCTTGCCATAGTCAATTACCCCTCAACCCAAATTTGTCCTCCAGCTAATCCCCCCCCCCCCCCCCCTCCGAACATAACACATACACAAAATTTGTTTTTCGAAACAGACTTTTAATATCAAACAAGTTTGTAATTTGGTTTCACACGTGCAAAAAATACCCGCGTTTCCAAAAGTGCATTGTACATGCCCCAGCAAAGTTAATGTTTGGACATATTTTAGTTTGTTTAGACCAAAAGCTTTCAAAAACCTGCATAATTGAACGTTCATTACACTAGCCCAGACGCTTTTGTGAAATGCGGCTATAATTTGCACCCGGATATAAACGAGGGGCTTAAACTGCAGTTAAGTTTGGAACTCAAATTTACCAATGCTCTAAATGAAATGGGAAGTGCTGCATTTGACCAGATCAGTATTTAAGCAACTTTCAGTGTACTGCAAACATCCTTTTAGCTCCCATCCCTGATCATGTTAAGAGGTTTCTGGGGCTAGAGTACACAGGGCATATTCAATAAAAAGACCTATATAGTAAAATCCATCATGATTGAGTTGTTTACCGCTTCGATCCTTTTCTGGCGTTTCTTCATATATATTTTAAATGCTTTTGTACATAGCGCTTGTGCAGTTGCATTAAATTGAAGACTGACCGGGGGCCACAGCTGTTCGGAGGCAAACAACAACGGTGAGTGCTGTTCGAGACTTTGCCTCTCGACCCTGAAGACCTGGTTAGATTTTCATCTCGACCGCTTCAACACTGTTAATTTAGATATTATTTTTCAACAAAATATTGCGTTTTTGATAAGGTGGCAAGTGTCTATTTGTAACCAACCTTGCCAAAAATGTTGCGCTGGGGTTAGGGGTTTATCGGATATGAAAGGACCAAACTACAGAATATGTATGCAGAGACCCCCCTCTTGAGAGCTATTGTTAAAATACCTGTCGTCATGGGGTTTGTTGTGTAGGATAACCGTCATGTTTTGAGGTGTGTAGTCGGTGCAATTTTTTTTAAATGACTGCGGAATTGTTAACCTTTTGAGCTAGACACAGTATCACGTTTTCTACATTGGATTCTGTATAGTATTTATTTTAATGGTCTTTAAAAAAAATAAAGGTTTCTCCCCCATGACAGTGTAAACTGGCTTCTGCATTGTTGAATAGCATGAACCCGGTTAGTGGGCGACTCCTCGGTGGGGGCCCCAGTGTTTACTGGGCTGTGATTCTAATGGCGCGGTGCCGATTAATCGCTCTCATTGGCCAGCGCGAGAGATTCAGTGCCCACTAACGTCTTATATTTATTCTCGCGTTTTTCTGCCGTGTGCTTTTTAAGCCTCTGAACGAGGTACGAAGGCCTGTCACGTGGTGTTTTTTTTTCTCATCGCCATCACAAGCCTCGTCTTCAAGGGAGCGTCCCGTTTCCCGGGGCTCCATTTATTCCACTGTTATTACTGTCAGTTTATGGTCGTAACTGATTGTCTTTACGCAATAAATATTTAATTGCATGATGGTGTGATGTCATTCAGTCACGTGCTTAACTCTCCTGGACGTTTGCAGTAGAACAAATGATCGAAACAAATTATACAATATAGATATTATGTCAGAGTGCGTGTGTATATATGTATACAAGCATGCACATAACATGTCTAAACGTGGTCGTGGCGTACAGACCTGTAGCGCCCCCAGAGGTGATGTTGAGACATGAGAACAGGCTGTGTGAAGGGTCTGCAGTGACCTTTCCGGACTGCTGCTGTACAAGTCTTGGATGCGGGGCAGGCTTGATCAAAGGACTGATGATCCCTCGTCTGTTGGCCGATCCAGAGAACAGACTAGATGAAGAGTAGGACCAGCGGCTTCTGAGGAAAGTTGGTCTTCCTATTGCACAGGATATAATCCGCTAACCGCGGTTGTCTAGATATACAGTAACTATAACAAATGTTTTTTTTAAGCATCTGGATTAAGGAGTGTAATTGCTTGAAGGTCAATCACACAAACAATAGCTGTTCTGTTAACCTTCTCAAAATCCTAAACCGTTCACTATCACTCCACCAGAGGGAGACCTTGTTCTATCGTTACTATAGCAAACCTTTAAGTTAACGGACAATCTTCACTAAATCGAACTGTAGGTAGACCACCACTATGAACTATGAGGCAGATGGATCCAGCGGTATGTGGGTTCACACAGACACACACGTGCACACACAAAGTCCAACACACCATCTCCTCACAGGCCTGCTGGAATTATCAATAGAAGCCACACATGAACCATCCAGTCTGTAGAGATAAGAACACATGATGTTGAGGAAGGCCACCGGTTTGATTCCCTCCACTAACCGAACAAATATGAAAACAGCGGCACTCTTGACTCCCTAATTAACGCTGCTGACGTGCCCTTGAGCTGCGCCTAATTTGCTGCCGTGGAACCCCTCGCCAGCCCACAGATGACACGGTGGTTGTGCCGCGGAGCCCCTGGGTGTTAATGTGAGGGCCACCCACTCAGCTGCAGACGAGGCTGTTTTATGTCAGTCCCAGACAGACTCAGAATTCATGAATTTGTTTAAGTGGTTTAAGTAAATTTATTTCTTTTGAATCGCGGGCCGTCGTGCACATGGTCCAACTCCGGCTAAAGAGTTACAGTGCAGAATTCTGGAGAATACTTGTCTGAAGCAGTGGGTTTGTGTGTACTAGGAATAACATTAGAAATAACATCTTGGACTTGTACTCCACATATTTAGAGGGGCATTTATTCTCATTGTCCTGGCGCTGTATCACCTTGGGTTGTCAAACAGTGTTCACATCGGAAATTGGTCATTCAATTCAATTTATTTTACATAATTTTTTGATAGCCCATAATCACAGATTACAATTTTTCCCTCGAGGGCTTTACAGTTTAGTTTACAATTTTTCCCTCGGAGGCTTTACAGTTTAGTTTGTACAACCTCAATCCCAAAACCCTCACATCAGAACAGGAAAAACTAGACAATAATAAGTCAGGTGTAAGCAGGACCCCCTAACCACCATCGGATACAACCACCACTGTAACCTCCATTAGATGTAACTATCAGATATAACATCCTCATGATGTAGCCACCATCAGACAGTTAGACATAAACCAGCAAGACTTCATGAAAGAAGCAAAGTTGGTAATGTGCATTTATGATGAAAGTAATATTAATGTAATTCACTGAGTCCAAATGTTGTTCTTTTTGGTTACTTTTGGGTGCTTTCAAATACTCTCCCAGTTTGAGGTCTGTGAATGATGTCGTCTTTTGTTTGTTTGGACGTCCGTCATTAAAAAATAAATGATGTTGTTATGAGAGCAGGCAGGTTTGGAATCATCCAAGAACAGTAATGATCTCATTTTAAAAAAGATATTCAGCAGCAAACTGGAAAGCACATTTCTTTTGTCTCCAGAGTGTCTTTTCTCCTCTACAGGAGGTCTACAGTCGGCTCCCAGGAGCCTCTTTAACTTTCATGTTGAAATATCCACCACCTAAATGACTGTCTTCTCTCCATCATAATGGGAGTATGTGACATGTTTTTGTTTCAACTGTCCCTTTGAAACTCCAAATAAGTAATGTCACTACTACAATACACACATAAAAATGTGTTACTAATCGTTTAAATATCTAGGAAATAAAATGTGATTGGAGGTGCTGTCTGACGTGTCATGAACCGGTAATGTTAGCGTAAGCTCAATGCATTCGCACTCCATTTCACACTCCTCACTCTCTGATTAGGGCAGAATGAGTGGAATTTAACATGACGCCTCTGCTTACAGGAGGAGAGTGACAGTTCTAGTCTGTCGGCAGGAGGAGCAGCCAAGGCTGCATGTGGCTCTCCTTTTTACATTGTCCCTATCTTCAGTGAGGCTTTGCCTGACCTACCGGCTGGATGTTCTCCATCACATTCATGCAGCATCCGCACTCCTGCATTGTCATGCACAGAGAATGTCAATATGCGTCCTGCAACAGCACGCACGAATAACGCAAATATAAACTGCGTTGCCTCCAGCTGATATTGACTTGCAGCTCTGAACCAACACTTACAATGCCCACCTGTTCTACTCCCCAAACACACGCACACGCACACACACACACACACACACACACACACACACACACACACACACACACACACACACACACACACAAATACACCCACTCACACTCAGTCACTCACACACTACCGCCCGGGCAGGTTAACCCTCCTAACCTCCCCAGTGTCCCAATATGACGTCCATGCAGCCTCAAAACATGTTAGGTCTCTGCTTTTTTTGGTCCCACTCTCAGCCTAGGTGGCCCGTCTTCCAAAGGCACTTTGGGGAAGATACCCCAGTACCCATCCCCCAACAGCCCAACACACACATACACACACAGACACACACTGCTGTTACCCACTCCACCCCCTGTTGGGTGCTGGATTGTGGGGTTGAGAGATGGTGGGGTGGAGGGGTGGATTATGCGAGTGTGAGGCTCGTAAAGGGCCTGCCATGGTCTTTCTGTTGTGTGACGGATGGCTGGGAGGCTGAACAGGCCTGTTTTGCATGAGAAGAGAAGCCAGCAGAGGGGAGAATAGAGGTCTATTCAATGAGGCCTGTCACCCAAAACCACCCTCCTGCACTGAACCCTCACACCCCACCCCTTCATCATCCATCCCTTCATCCTTTCGAGCCTCCTCCTCCTCTCTTGTTCTCCTTCGCCATCTTGGTCCCCCCTTTCTTCCTTCATTTTGTGGCTTTCACTTGCTCGTCCCCACTGCTTCTTTCTCACCCTATAATCTACACCCCACCCCCACTCCGCTGCCCTCCTTACTTTTTGATTTCATCCCACTTAATTTCTGTTCATTCAGATTTTCCCTCCTTTCCATCAAGATGTTTTTTTACCCTGGTGAGTTCCATAACATTTGAATCCTCTGATTACTTTGTGAGCATTGTGAAAGAGAGGCCATAATGGAAACGTCATGGCCAATGCTCTTCAACACTAAAAGAAGTCATGTGACTTGATGCTCTGACATGCTTAGTGATTCCACATTTGAGACAGCAGGAGATATTATGGCATAATTAGGTTAAAGCTGCATTCAATGATTCTTAGCCACTAGAGAGCAGACCAACAGAAATAGGTGACATATTAAAAGTCTATGTGTACATGCAGGACACAAAGAGCAATTCTAGCATTCCTTCCGAGTGATCATACAGTCCATCTGATGAAAGCAACAATCTGTTTCTTTGCTCTGTTGTTTGTTGCTGAGCAGGCATCAAACGGCGACTGAAGCCCCTTCCACTCATGCACTGCAACCCAGAACTTATCCAGACATTTTCCAGAGAAGCTTTATGTGTCCAAATCATTCCAACCGGATGCTAAACCAACCTTATTCTGCCAGCTCCCTCTTACAAAGTCTATTTAATGCCCACAGAGCGAGTGGGCAGAAACAGGAACACAAAGAATGGTTATTTACACTAAGTCAGCAGTGAAAATGTCCCACTGGACAAATTGTTGACGAAATTGTTAGACAAAATCAGAGAACAGAGACACGGTTGTGACCAAATTACAAGCCAGCTCTGTGGCCGTAGAGAAGTGGCCAGTCATCATGACGACACTCATTGGTGTGTGGACTGATTTTTGGAAGCCTTGACTTGGACGAGTTTGGCTGTCGCTATTTTTGCTATATTCCAACTGATGAAAGAGAAGGGACCAAAGCAGTGAGTGATCTAGAGACCGCTTATACGTCTCTGTTATTGGCAGAGACCTGTCAATCACAGTAAGGCCACCCTAAAGTCTACTCCACTTTGAGATCTATAAGACTCTAAATTTACCACAATTCACTAAATGAACATTATGCTGTATTGAAGAAGACTTGAAACTTGAGATTGAGACCATACAATCCTATTTCCAAAGAATGCACACCTCAGCAACATTGTCAGCCATAACTATCATTACAGTTAACCACCATATGACTGCTGGGGGCCAAAGAGTCCCCTGCGGAGACCAAATTAAATGGTATGAGAAAAAGTGAATGATTGCATCACTTGTGTAACATTTTACTGATTAGTGTGATTTCAATGGAAACCCAGATGAAGAAAAGACCAGGTGGTGAACAGCATGGACATTTCTGTGCGGGGGTGAAGAGGGGTGGGGAGGAAGAGGAAGAAGACTAAGAACTGCTGCTGTCTTCACTTCACTTCACCTCAAAAGAACATAAAAAAAGAGAGCACAACTCTGCGACGATTGACAGAAAAATGGAAACCGCTGTTGATGTTGTATCTGACGAGACAGGGACGAGTAGAGTAAAGTGTGACGAGACCAAGCGGTTGAGAAAACTCCTCTGCCATTCCCTTCCATCTGGAGCTGCAGAGGTTGACAGATAGACGAAAAAAAGCTGAGATCGTGACTGTGTTGGTGAGTTGTTTTTGAAAGAAGGAAAAGCCAAGGGGAGCGAGGAGGCGGAGGAGGGAAAGGTTTGGAAGGGATTCCACACAAGGTTGTCATGGAGATTGAAACGGGAGACTGGAGCCTCACATTTCCCAATTAGTCACGAACACGCCCGCGCTGCCGATAGTGTGCACACACCACAGTCCCTTGAACGCACACACCTAAATTAATACACTTTGGAAATTACTTAGTAAACTCAACCTTGCACGTAGCACACAACCAGGAAATCTCACCTACCTCACCTGTTTGTTGGTGACGCAGTGATTTGTATCTATGCTCTGTCTGGGTGTAGTCCCGGCAGGGAAAGAAAACTTCTAAAAAAACATTCCTCAGAATTTAAATTCAATACGCTGAATATAAAGTTGTATTTAACAGGTTTTACTGTAGCTGTGGAACTGCGATGAGACTCAGCTGCTTGTTCTTCCCCCGTTATGTGCCTTGTGAAGACAGTTGACTGCTCGTCATCATAATCACACATTAATATGTATATATATGCATTGGTCAAAAACTGAATTATAAAACTAAAGTATTTCCGAGGCAAAGCGAAGGAAAAAATAACTTATGATTCACATTCAACCATTTCTCATACCCAACTTACTGAAACCGGGTGACACACAAACAGTGCCTTAGTGGGTGAGAGCCCTGTGTTGTTTAACCCATCAAACCTCCACTACCACCATGCGTGGACTAACCACCCAATAATGAGGCAGCTGTGTTCCCATTGGAGTTAGTTGAAAGCCTGGTATGTCTCACGCAGACACTAAAGGGTGCCTCTGTGCTTCAGTATCACACCCCAAGTTTTAAAGAGTTTGGAGTGAGAATGGGTTGAAATAACAGTTGGGCACACACAAGTGATGAAGAAAGTACGACCTGATCACCAGCAAAGGACATCTGTATTGGATGTTTCAACAAAACCCTGGATTATGTTCAATGACAAGGGTCCGGGTTTGGTAACATACAGACTTTGGTTGTGGATCATTAAAACTGTCTCGAGACCTCATTCCTTCGGATCCCCCAATGAATTGTTTTAGTAGATCGACGGTGGTGCTTTTCATTTTATTGTAAACCCATTTAAAGATGACATCAAATGGATCTGCTGACCGATATCATTCCAACGTGATTGAAAGCACTAACCTGGCGGATCTCTAAGTCAGGATTTTTTGGACGGGTCAATAGCTGCATCAATGTCAGTAGTGATCTGTGAGCTCTTGTGTTCAGCTGACTTCTCCCATCACACCCACGTTCTGCTGACGGTGGCTTCTCCCACCAGTGGAAACACACAGAGCCCAGCAGGGCCGCCAGAAAATCACCAACACATCCCTCGTTCAGACACTTCCAGGCCGATTACATGCTAAAACACCAGTTGGATTTATCTGCCACATTACTGAAGCCAACTCTGGATAAAGTGGAGCCAACTCGGACACAGCGCCGGCCTTGTAGTTTTTGGGAGCGTCGCTGTTAACAAAGACACTGGAAGACAGCAAAAGAAGAGGTCTATTTTTGCCCGGCCAACAAAGATCTTCCTCATTCTCCCGCAGCTCCAAAGTAATTCTGTGTGCCATTGTGGCCAAATCAATACCCCTGTATGGGGACATGTCTTCAGCACAATCGTCTGAAAGGAGAGCCCGGCTGCTCAAAAGCTGGGCTTTAAAGAAGTCACAACGAGCATTTCCATAGCGGTTAGCTGTACCTATAATAATGTTGTTGTCTTTGATTGAGTCGGACTAGTTTAGTAGAAAATGTTGGCAAATGCAAAGCTTTGTGAAGGGAAAGAGTAAAAAAAAAAGTATGCACACTACTTGATGCTACAATTCGATCGACTAAATTACCATTCAACTTGTATCTCTGACAGGGCAAAATGTTAGAGGAAAGAAAACAACACCTGTATTTATTCATGCTGCACATCAGTCAGCAAACCAGCTGCAAGAATGGTGGCATGAGTCAACAGAAAATAAAGCTGCAATATCTATATAGCCAAAAAGTTTGTGTTTTCATAATCATGGAGTCCATAAAGATATGCTCTACATAAGACAAAACTTATGAACAGAGGGCACTAGGCCTAAGGATTAAAAGATTGATTTGATCTGCCCTAAAATGCTAGTGACCTTTGGGATTTACCACCCAGGCAAAGTGCAAAATTGACTCAGACCCTTAAAGGCCTTAACAGGAGACCTAAAAGTGGGTTAATATAGAACATAATAAGAGACCAGAATGGGTAGGTGTACTTACATTACTATTAGACAAGGGGTACCCAATAGGTTGATTGCGATCGACCGGTCAATCGCCAAGGGAGTGCCGGTTGATTGCCTGCCATTGGAAAAAGAAATCCTGTTGAGTCACGACGCATGCACGGTTGACCGCGGGAAAACTCGGTAGCGCTAATTAGCTCACAAACAGACACATTTCATTCAAGAGCAGCCCTGGCTGACTCCAATCAGTGCAAGTCATCCGAGTAAGGTAATGATCAAGAATGTATGAAATGGTTCTGACGGTTCCATCGCTTCTAACAGAAGCTCGTTGCGTAAGCGCTCATGGTATGCAGTGTTGTTATTCCGTTTGGTTACCGCTACTATTTATTATTATTATTTATTTAGTAAAGTAGCTTACAAGCTGCAAAAGTGTGGGCACCTCTTCTTTAAACACATGATTTATATTTTTTTCATGAAAGTAGATTCTCTGAAAAAGTAATCAAAAAACTTATTTTATCAAGCTTATTTTCTGTGGATATTCTAAATGAAGGGGAAACCATTTTCAAAGGATTTGTTGTTTATTAATGGTCTTCCTGAAATTATTTTTATATATCATTTTGTTGATATTCCTCAAATTGCAATTCTATTTTTATGAATATAAGTGATATTCAACGTGGTTTTACTTGTTTCATATGTAGTAAGTTCACTTGTAGCTAACAATTTATATAACTTTTGTTTATACTGTCTTTGATGTTGTCTCAAGCCATAGTTGAAGTAGAAATACTGAACTGAAAAACGACGGATAGGTTTGGGTTTTAGAGAAGCAGCCTTGTTGTGCGTTTGTCTGTCTGTGTGCGAGACGTTCCGTGGTGTTTGGACTCGATAGAAGTGATTTTTCCTCTTCTTTCCCAACTTTGATGAAACTACGTCGTTCAAACTCACTTACTGATAACAGGCTAATTGAACACCCCGACGCTTACCCCCCTCTTCTCCCTCCAACGCCGTCATCAACAAGTGTCTCGCGCACCCTCGCAGCCTTTTCACTTGCAAATTGAATGCGCGCACGCACGCGGAAGCTCCTCGCCCTCCCATTGGTTCGCTCCCGGCCCCAGTGCGCGAGAACAGGTATCTATGAGTGAGCGGGCGCGTGATTTCAGTATGTGAGTTGACAACAAGTGGTCTTCCGCCCAGAACTGTTTCACGGCATCGAGGAGTGGCTCACTTTTTGGGGAACAGCGTCTCCGCAGCGACTCACTCAAACTGGCGTTTGCCCTGAGAGAAGTATCCAGCTGTTCCTCCTCCGCGGTCATTTTTTGTCCTACTTTTCGTCGTGCGTAATTAGTTGATTCTCATCACCCGGTTGATTCTGCGCGGAAACCTGGCCGTGAGTCGCCAGGTGGACGGCGACAAGAAGGCTACTGCGCGACAAGTCTCAACTTCTCAGTAAGTCGTGTCAACTTTGCTACAACTGCCCCAACATGTACAGCATGATGGAACACGAGCTGAAGCCCACCGGCCAGCCCCCGTCCCACCAGACCTCCCAGGGAATGTCACCCGTCACCGGCAACATGACCGGGGGCATGGGCGGCAATGGCAACTCTCACCCGGGCTCTAAAACCGCGTGCGCCCCCGGAGTCGACCCCATGGATAAAGTCAAGCGCCCCATGAACGCCTTCATGGTGTGGTCCAGGGGACAGAGGCGCAAGATGGCTCAAGAGAACCCCAAAATGCACAACTCCGAGATCAGCAAGCGGCTCGGAGCCGAGTGGAAGCTGCTGACCGACGCCGAGAAGCGGCCTTTCATCGACGAGGCCAAGCGGCTGCGGGCGGTCCACATGAAGGAGTACCCCGACTACAAGTACAAGCCGCGCCGCAAGACCAAGCCCATGCTCAAGAAGGACAACCAGGTGGGCAAGTACCCGCTGTCGGCAGGTAGCCTGCTGGCGGCCGCGCAGGGCCAAGGTGGCAGCCCGAGGATGGACAGCTACGGCTGGGGCCCAACCGGAGGGTACGCCGGCATGCAGGGCGAGGCGCTCGGCTACACGCAGCAGCTGCACCGGTACGACCTGTCGGCGCTCCAGTACCCGCCCGCCATGTCCGCGGCGCAGACCTACATGAACGGAGGAAACTCGTACAGGTGAGTGGTTTCAGAGTTGCACAACAACATCCCAACTTAATAAAAAATTATCCGGTCAATTGCTGAATAACGGTGAATATGAAGTTGATCAAAGTGCGGCCCAAAATTGTATTCATATCTTTTTTTTTTTAATTATCTTTAGCCAATACGACAGTAGTTGATTTTGAACTACCATTTGTAAAGGAAATTAGATTCTCCAAAAGACGCGGTAGGCCAGATCCACCTGCTCCGGGAACAATATGGCGCTTTTTTCTTTTTTATATAATAAAAATGTATATAATAAAATGTCTTGACGCACTGATCACTGCCAACAAACCGCATGTAGCATTGGACCTGATGTCCTCCTTGAAACAAAGTTATAGGATGAGCTGTTTTAATTGTCCATCAGTGGAGGATAGTTTCAGAGCATGCGCAGTGAACTACGGCTTTCAAATCAGGGGTCCCCAACCACGGGTTCTCAGTCATTTTTTTTTTTTCTTTTTTCTTTTACATTTTTCTCTGAAATATTTTATTAAACCTCCAGTACTTACACTTGCCCCTTCACATTAGCTGTTGGCTTTAAATTGAACTCTGAAGAAAGAGAAACTTTTACTTTTGATTTTTGAATCACCGTATTTGCTTGAACAGGACAAAGGACAGAATATAATGACAAATTGTGTGAAAATGCATGTACCGAGTGCACTTTAACAATCTGCAACTTAATCAGGTGTCTGGATGAAGTGCATTCAGGTCTATTGAGTCACTGAGGAGCTCCGGCTGCGATGGAACAACAGGCTCCAGTCTGCTGCCTACTTGTTATGCGTGTGACGCTTTGCTCGGGGCTCGGTCCTGCCTGGAATGTTGATCAGGGTGACTTGATGGTAGGAAGGGCTGCTCTGTGTGTGGTCCTCTACCCACAATCCCCTATTCCTGCCCCACCATTGTCCCATTTACACTTCTGGGTCTCTGCCTCCTGCCTTACTGGTCCAATGTCCCCCCTGAAAAATTGAGTTAATTTGGGAACGATTAAGTCCTGTTCCTCCAATGCTATGTTTGCTACAACTTTTTACAATTATGCATTTAGTCACCGTCAGAATTGTACTGGTAGACGGGCAGCCAAATGTCCTGTTCCCCATTGTTGTTTTTTTTTTGTCTTTCAAAACATTTTCAGTCAGCAACTGCTACCTGTTTGTTGAACGAGAGGCGGGTGATTAAAGGGCATCCCCGCCTGGAGATGTTTGATTCTCTTTCGCAGGAAAAAGACTGTTGCATAAAATAGCACAAAATACTTTGCGTGAAATAGGAATCGACTTTCCCCGACTTCTGGAAGGTTGGTGCGATATGACGTTGGGATATTTGCTTTATTTTTTAAAAATTTGATTTATTCATAGAATAAATACAACACTCCTCTGAATTATGGTGGGAGAAAATCTTTGAAATGAGTTTAGCATCAATGATTTTTGGCATCGGTACTTGCAGCTACGGTCAGTGTGCAGTCTCACTGTAACGGCTCCATTGACTGACTCTTACTAACAATTCTTACTCATCACATCCTGTCCCCCTACAGCCCCATGTCGTACAGCAGCAGCCCCCAGCAGCCGAGCCCTGTCACCATGTCCATGGTGAAAGCGGAACCGGGGCCCCACTCTCCCCCGACGGGGACGCCCAACCACCACCGAGGCCCTTTGCAGGGTGACCTCAGGGACATGATCAGCATGTACATCCCCGGACCAGGGGGGGACGCCGGAGACCCCACGGCTGCACAGAGGGGCTACACCAGCGTCCAGCAGCACTACCTCTCTGGAACCGTCCCACTCACACACATCTAGGACTTGAAGCGGGAGTCAGAGTTGGCTGGGGGGGGCGAACCGAGTGGGAGGACCAGAAATGCTTACGGTGCACAGCTGGCTGTACAGGAGATGAGAGACTTTAGACGGGCAAAGATATGTGAAGGAAGAAAAGTTCCCGAGCACAGAGAAGTGACTCCATTTTTATTCATTGAAAAGCTGTTTTTCTACCTCTTTGGTGCCCCACTAGTGAAAATACACAACACACACATGGCACATGTACAGAGTGGAGACTCCTCGTTGCCCCCGCAGCCTCAAGCAGACTTCTCTTCACGAAGGACTGCAGTTAAGACTGAGCCCAAGTCTGTTTATTGTGTACATATAAGCAAATGTTCTGTCTTCTTCTGTCTTGTCTTTATTTTCTAAACTTGTCCATAATAAGTAAAGACTGCTTTTTAAACACCACTTTAAAAAACTTGTGACAGTGGCACTCATGACGGCTCCACCGTACCAGTCAGTAGCAGGGGCCCAAGCTGGGTAACTGTTTTTTGTCTTCCATGGAGCCGGTGGCTTCTTCAGAGACTAAAGAGCCCGGTCGGTAGATCCCGACCGCGCAGCTGGTGACGGACAAATCACCCGCGCTGAATTGTCCCGGTTCTTGTTTGTTGTCGCTGTCCTGATGCGTGAGCGGAGCAGCCGGTGAGGATAAAGGGAAGGAAATGCACAACTTGAATGAAAGGGCTTCTTTTTTTGGGAGGGGCATAAAATGAACTCTTTATACCACGGCTTCAGTTTAGTACTTGTATTTTCCTGATTTTTATTTTGAACAATCTTGTTGGATGACACGGAAACCACCTGTTGGGACAATCAGCACTGCATCCACGGGGAATAAAGGGAGCTCACAGGCCTCTGCGTTGCTTTAGAACGTAGAACTGGGCCGGTTCTAAACATTTCAGTCCGGTCTAGTGTCTCCAGTCCCTCCGTGTCGCAGGATTTAGTGTCAGAGATTCGACAGTTTTCTTTGCTGCCTTTTATTTGTTTATAGTTTAGATTTGATCTTTTTGATGTTATTCTGGCAGCATCCGAAGTCCCTCCGTGTATTCATTGTCACTTTGCTCTAGGCAAGAGTTGTATTGTTTTTATAGGCTTTTCAGTAAGTGAATGAAATTTAACATGAAATGCTACATTTCAGTGGTTTTATTCCAAAATAGCAGTTTAAGATTCACGAGTTCAGTCTTCCACAGAGTAAATTGGATTGACAAAGGCCTACCAGGCAAGTGTAGTTTTTAATGACCTGTCAATTGTGTTTTAACTACCATTAAAGAGAATGTATCCGTGACTTTCAATTAATCTCCATCATACATTTTTCAGCTCCTTACCTCTGGGTAATTCAATAGAAATGACTGCTTTTCTCAGGCAGTCCTGTTGTGTCTATTTTCCCGTCTAGCCTGCTGTCTTACTAGTGCTGCTTTGGACCTAAAGGGAACTTTTGCTTTCAGCCTACAGAGAAACACTGTGAATATTGAATGTTGTAGATTATTGCGACTTTAACTTTGCAGCATTCCATTACTAACTCGACATGCACTGGTAACAGATGCCTTACTTATCTTTTTGAAAAAGGAGCGCGGTTTTATTAAAGTAATGCTTGAATGTTTACATTGTTACCAGAGTGTTTTTAACTTTTTTACTGACTTGTATCTCTATTTTGTAGAATGATTTCTCTTGTATGTAAATGCTGCCATATACTAGAGTTACTTTATGTAGCATTAATGTAAATAATGTAAACATTTTTAGGCTCTTATACTAAGAGTCTTGATTTTTTTTTTTTTTTTTTTTTGTTGAAGAAAAATGTTATGGCTTTCATGACAATATTAATAAAAGTACAAATCCTTTTTTTCATTAATGACGTCATGTTTGTTTTACAGCAGTTTATATAATTAGTCCAGCGTTTGATCACATGACCAGGAGGTATCTTAGGGACACTTCTGTACGTAACCGCACTTTCTGCAGCGTTCAACCTTGCCACACAATATTTGTCAGCGTAATATTGTCTCAAAATTTGACTCAATTTGTTTGAAAAGTTTATTTTGTATTTCAGTCTACTTCAGACTGCTACATAAACCCAATTAATCTACAAAGGTGTAATTTGTCAAGCTGCTGTATTTAGTCTTAAAAGTATTTATTGTAATCAATACAACAGATCACCAAACCAGTGTTAAGTTTCATATGACTACTGTGTCAGTTGTGTTGTCCTATTTTGTTATGTTCCTGTGATATGGAACATCAAAATAATGCAGAATAAGGAGTTAATAGGTTTTATAACTGGTTTCATAACTTTTAAATGAATGGAAACAGTCGAAAACTATATTTAAAATATTAAGTCCGACTAACCACCCCAGAGGATTTTAGAATTTAACTGGTTCACTTTAACTAGCCACATTGACTAGTATGCGCCTGTGCTTCCACATTTCTCTGTATATCATGAATGTGTATTTGTCTGATACGATGGCTCAGTTATTTTATTGACGTACCAATTATTACTTACTACATATCTCCTTTGTCACAAATTGCTAACGATCTCCGGTGCAACGGTGCTGTGGCTCACGGAGGACTCTGCTGTTCTCAGCTGTTGCTTTCAACATGACCTCATCCAGCC